TGTTTTTGCTTTTTCCAGGAGAATCTGAGACTATTGAGGCATTTTTAAGGTAGCTGCTTTAAAACCTTTATCAGATAATGCCAGTATCTGATTCGCATCAGAATTGGCATCAGTTAATTGTCTTTTCTCACTCAACATGTAATTTTCCCGGTTCTTGATTTTAGAGGTGATTTTCAGTTGTATCTTTGGCATCTTGATTATTATATTGGGAGATGCTTGACTCTATTTAAATCTTCTGTGTAAAAAGTAAATAAATCTATTTTGGCATGTCATTACCTTGTTCAGGTTTAGCATGTAGGTTTTGGCCTACTTTTATAAGTTTTCGTTCCTGTGGCCACCTGGTTTCCAGAGCCCTCTTAATCCTGTTCTGGTCCACTTCATCCCTCCTGTGTTCTGAGCTTCCCACTCCTTCCCTGCTGGTGCCATCTGCTGGACGAGAAGGTTCCTTCCTGGCTGCCTGCCGTTGCTAAGCAACCATCTAGAGAAGCAGAAACCACCATACCTGGGTCTCCTTGGTGAAGAGCCAAGGCTAAAGAGCAAAGAGACACAGGGCTCCATTGCTGCCACCACCGCAGGCTGACTGGGTTGACACCAGACTGGATTATGCGGCAAGGGCTTCGATGCTGTCCTTGATTTTTGACTGCTCGTCCCTCTTGGGAGCAGTTTCTCTAAAGCCTCCCTCTGCAAAGGGTTAACCCTCCTCATGCCCTTTCCTCATGACTTATTTCTCCCTTCAGATCATCACCTTCAGGGACTACCTACCCATTGTGCTAGGTGGCGAGATGCAGCAGTGGATCCCCCCATACCAAGGATACAACGAATCTGTAGATCCCCGAATTTCCAATGTCTTTACCTTTGCTTTCCGCTTTGGCCACTTGGAAGTCCCTTCTACTATATTTCGCCTGGATGAGAATTATCAGCCATGGGGTCCAGAACCAGAGCTGCCCCTGCACACCCTCTTCTTCAACACCTGGAGGATGGTCAAAGACGGTATGCCCTTCCTGGAAAGTGCTCTCCTGGCTCTCCCACTCTGCAAGCTGCTGGTAGGGAAACCTGGCTGAGGAGTCAGATTCCAAGCACCTCCTATGTGACATTGTGCAAATGAATTCATCTCACTGAGCCTGTTTTCTTCTCTATAAGAATGGGGGCGGGGCCGGGGATTTAGCTCAGTGGTTTCGCCGCCTGCTGCACAAGCGCAAGGACCCGAGCTCGCAAAAAAAAAAAAAAAAAAGAATGGGGGCAACAGGGCCGGGGATTTAGCTCACCGGTGCCGCTGCCTGCCTCACAAGCGAAAGGTCCTGAGTTTGATCCCCGGTACCAAAAAACTCCAAAAAGAATGGGGCAATAATAGTACTCAACTCGTGAGGATATTCAGAAAAATTAACTGAGGTAAACAAGTAGAGCAAGCTACAAGGGTTCTTAACACACAGGAAGTGATTGACACATATTAGTCATTACTGTTTCTTTCCTCCTTCCTGTTTCTAAGCCCTCCTTTGTCCTGGGCTGAGGCTGGCTTTCCTTAGGGCCTAACAAGTTGGGGTCTTTTCCTAAAGGGCCTCTTCCTGTGCTACAGTTCTCCCAGAAGGATGAATAGGAGGAAAAAGTGCTGACTCCATGAACTAGAACTTGAAAATGCCATCATCCCATGAGCACCCTTTCTGCCACCCCAGAATCAGGCAGCCTAGACTCCCCGCCCCTGAGCATGTTCAACTGGTTCTTCTTTAACCATGGAAGGTGTCCATGCCTTACTCCCATCCCAAGGATGGCCTCTGGGTCTTCCTTTGCAGGTGGAATCGATCCTCTGGTGCGGGGCCTGCTGGCCAAGAAGGCCAAGTTCATGAATCAGAATAAAATGATGACAGGAGAGCTGCGCAACAAGCTCTTCCAGCCAACACACACGATCCATGGCTTTGACCTGGCTTCCATTAACATACAGCGAGGCCGGGACCACGGGCAGCCTGGTGAGTGGGCCTAGGGTCGAGGCTGGCCTGGAGATATCTTAGCTCCCTTCTGGGGCCTGGAGCCTCTCCCCAGAAACCTACAAGCTCTACTCAATTCTGAGCAGAAGGCAGGCTGGCTTATAAAACCCACTTTGCTCAGCCATGGTATGGAATCTTTCATTCTCCCTTATGCAGAGACACGAGGACGTATCTGGTACTATCTTGAAGTTCTTTAGAAAAGAAAGACCAACAAACTCCTAAAACCAGTTATAAGCCTAGAAAAGACTGAGAAAAGAACAGAGAAAAGCCAAAGACTGTTGGTACTTTCTTTTGTACCTGTGAAAGGCAATTTAATTTAATTCAGACCTAGATTGCCTGAGTTCAAATCCCAGCTGTGCCATTTACTAGTCATGGCACTGGGAGTAAATCACTTAACATTTCTGCTCCTTCATTCACATATTTGCACAGTGCTTAGAGCAGTGCCTGGACCTGTGGTAAGTATCCAGAAAGCCACCAGCCCCGCCCCACCCTGCCAAGACTGAAGTGCCACAGATATAAACAATGGTCAGTATCTCTGCTATTTCAGAGGCCAGATTTTCTGGGGCTAATGGAGCTGGAATGGGTACGTCCCCAAAGGGGACCAGAAGCAGGAAGTCCCTGCCATGAGACAACCTGACCCTCCCACCCTAGGTTACAACTCCTGGAGAGGCTTTTGTGGCCTCTCACAGCCGCAGACCCTAGAAGAGCTGAGTGCTGTGCTGAAAAACGAGATGCTGGCCAAGAAGTTACTAGGTCTCTACGGGACCCCTGACAACATCGACATCTGGGTGGGGACCGTTGCTGAGCCCCTGGTGGAAAGCGGCCGGGTGGGGCCCCTCCTGGCCTGCCTCCTGGGCCTCCAGTTCCAGAGGATCCGAGATGGAGACAGGCAAGTGAAACCTCCACCCCAGGAGACAGTAGGGACCCCTGCTCCTAGGAGACCGTCCCAGTTTCCCGAATGAGGACTACCTTCTCAGCACGCGGGCAGCTTTGCAAGTTCCCGGTGACCTCCTTGGCATGGGGAGGGGCCAGCATCTGGACCGTGTAATGAGACCCTGCTTCTGTCTGCAGATTCTGGTGGGAAAACGCAGGAGTCTTCACGGAGACGCAGCAGGACTCTCTGAGGAAAATGTCCTTCTCACGCCTTGTCTGTGACAACACCCACATCACCAAGGTTCCACTGAACCCATTCCAGGTCAACAGCTACCCCCAAGGCTTTGTGGACTGCTCTGATGTCGAGGAGCTGGACCTCCTACCCTGGGCCTCAGTGGAGAGTTAGAGGCCTGGGCTCACGGCCTCCCAAGTTGCAAAGAAAAACTCCTTTTGGTCTGCAGTGGCATTTCATGCGAGTTCAATGACCCAGTCCCTTCGAGCTGCAGGCCCCAGGCCCAGCCTTCCTCTCAGCCTCTCCTGCACGCACCAGATCAACGGCTTGCTCAAGCCACCTCGGCCTTTCCAGCTCTTCTCCTCGGCTACCGTTTCCACCCCAACCTTTTGGCCCATGGAAACTCTCCCTTCAGTCAAGACAGACCTTCTGAGATGCCCTTCCAGTCCTGCTTTCCCAATGTCTCCCGTCCTCTCGCCTGAATAAGACTGGCTGAGGCTCTGGCCTTTGAGCTTTGTCTTTCCTCCTGTCCTCCCCAGCTAGATTGAGGGGTTCTGAGTATGGCCATGGCACTCGGCATGGTGCTCCACACTAACTGCTCAGTAAACATCGATGATTGCCTGAGGAGGCCGGTGATGACCTGTCTCTTTCTGCAGGCAGTAACTAACTCTAAGTAACCAGAGTCCAGACGTGTCTTGCCCCCAAGATACTGTGTTCTTGGATCTGTAGGGGGGAGAGAGAGGGGTTGGGTGGGAGTTCCAAGAGCAAGTGGCTGAAGAAGGGAAGAGGGAAGGGCTCCCGGGGACAGGAAGCAATGGGGTGGCAGGAGAGAGCAGGTGGGGCCCCCTGGGGACCAAACAAGCCTGCATTCCCCTCCTACCACAATCTATTTCTCTTCCAGCCCTCTGGGAAACACCTTCTTCTTCCAGGGCAGTCCTTGGGCCTTGTCAGACTTCCAATGGGACAGCTCAGGGACGTTCTTTGGGCTGCTCGCCAATATGCATTCATACATTCTTCTTTTCAAACGACCCTCTGGGTAAGGCCAGCCCAGGTTCCCTGACTGGTGGGAGGAGGAGACACTCAGCTATCCCAGGGGAAGAGCCCAGGGCAGAAGACCAGGCTGCCTCTGGCACCCACTTCTTCCCAACCTCTGATGCAGCCCTTCCCCTCCCTCAGCCCCCTCCTCCTCAGTGAAGTGAGGACAAGGGGTATTTGTCCTGCTGTGCACCTTGGTGGCAGCCTGGCTTTCCCCAGGGACCCCAAGTACACACCATGTGGCTCCCAGCTTCGGTGCCCCTTCCCCCATATGCAGAAACATGGCAGGGAGGGTGGGGGGAGTCTACCAGCTGGCTACTGGGGTCATAGCCAGGCAAGACTGCTAGGGAGTGCACTGGCCCTGCCCTCTGAGCCCAGCCATCTGCTTCCCTATGCTTTGGAGCCTGACCACTTGAAACTTGGAGTGAGAAAGAGTCTCCCATCTTGGAGCCTCCAAACTACCACTGTGCCAGACTGTGGGGATGCAGGAGCCAGAGGTCCCTGTCATCTGAGGCAGCCCTTCCCACCAGTCCTTGGCTCTTTCTCTCCCCCAGGATAGCATTTTGCCCCTTCTGCTTCCCAGCACCTGACAGAATAAGCATTAAGCAAACCTTTGCCACAGAGTGAACAAACATTAGGCCTCCGTGACCACATCCCTATTCTGCAAGGTGGCAGAGGTAGGAGGTGAGGGACAAGGGTCTGCTCATGTGTGGCTTGTGCCCTACACGTCTAAGAACCCATTGCCCTCCGTGTGTGGACAAAGGAGGACTCCCTGATGCCCTGGCCCTGGTTTGGGATCACAGGGCCCAGCCCGGAGAGAGGTACAGACCCTACAGGGTCAAGTTCAAGGCCCAGCCCCTTCCCAGACAGACAGAGGGAAATCCCCATCCTCAGTGCTTTATTATGTAAACATCAGGTACAAACAAATGGTACAGAAGGACTGACGGCCCTCACTCCTCTCCAGGCAGGCCCCTGTGGATAGGAGAAGAGCGTGAGACCAAGGAGACCTGCAGCTGAGCCCAGCCAGCCAGGCCCAGAACTCGGCCACGTGGCCGAACCGCCAAAGGCTCCTCACTCCAGAGGCCACTGGTTCACCTCTGCTAATCAGAACACAGGCTCTGTGTAGGCTCCTCGGGGACACAGACGGTGTCTGTCCTGCCTCTCTGTGTTTCCCATGCCTGGCACAGTGCATGGCAAGCAGTAGGTGCCCAATGAATGTAGAACTAGAGGGCGCAAATGGGGCCTCTAAGGAGCCATAGCTGCTTTTTACAAGGAAGAAAACTCAGCTTAGGGAGATGAAGTAGTTTGTCCAGGGTCAGGGTTCTGGTCAGCTGCAGAGCCGGGATGTAAACCTGAGCTATGCTCCTCCCCAGTCTGCTCTGCTGCCTTCGATATACTCCACAGCCTTGTGAGCAGCAAACACACACTCACACAAATGACACACAGCACAAAAAACACTGCCCGTCCTCACAGATGACACACACATGTGAAACGCCCATTTATATACCAGGCACACATGCGCACATGTAATCACATATAAACACACACATGTGCATGAATGCTTGCGCACACACACACACACACACACACACATGAATACCCAGCCTTTTTCCCAACAGCACCCGGAACAGGGACAGTCTCACCAGGGAAGAGAGTTCCCTGTGGTGTCAAGTGGGCAGCCCAGGTGCACCCTCATGACATTTTGCCCTCACCCAGCCTCTACGGCTCCCTCCAGGAAGCCAGATTCAATGCAGGGAGAGAGCTGCAGTTGACAAAGTCCCGGGGGAAAGAGTTAGACATGAAGATGTTGTTCCTGGAAACGGTGGTGATGCCCGTGTTGTCACAGATGATGCGGGGCAAGGAGATCCTGGCCAGGGCCTGCCGCTGCTGCAAGCTGAACACACCGTTGTTCTCCCACCAAAACCTGCAAGGGGCACCATGGACATTTTGCCTGGGAGTCACTGAGCTGGCAGATCCTGGGCCAATGGGTGTCACCCGGCTTGAGCTGCTCCCTGGATGCAAGAGGAGCATAGAAGTCTCTGCCCAGTGACACAGGAGCACTCCAGGCCACTGGAGGGTCCCCCACCCACAGCACAGAATAAGCACAGCTGCCTGGTTGCCTCCGCTGCTCCAGCCCAGTGGCCTCCAGACACCCATTCTAGAGGGAGCCAGGTCCACCCTCAATCATGAAGCCCTATGCCCAGGGCTGCATCCACAGGAGTTGGGGAGAATCCTGGAGGTGGTTTCATAATATTACCAAAGGGGCAATAAAGGCTAGGTAAGAACTAGACATGTGGACATCAGAACCACAGCGAAATGACACAGAGGCAAGTCATGGGAAAGCTAAGTTGGGACTAATGGGGACTGACATTTCCACAATTGCTCAGATAAAAGCAGAGAAAGGAAAGTAGCATTTCTTCTGTCTTCTGTCCTTCACAGCCAGGGACCCAGTGTCCTCCATGCTGCGCCCTCACAGGTTCAGGGCACACTGAGGGTGACATGAAGCTTCCCTGGAACATGCTGGAAAATCACTGAGGAAATCAGGGCCCCTGTAAGCTCGGGGATGGTCTATGGCCACCCAGTGGGCCTGCGTCACCCATACCCTCCTCACCGATCACTGTCCCGGAGCTTCCTGAACTGAGTGCCAATGAGGCAGGCGAGGAGCTTGCCCACACGGCCATTGGGCTCCAGGGGCTCGGCCACACCGCCCATCCAGATGTCGATGTTGTTCGGTGTGCCGTACTGCTGCATCAGCTTCTGTGCCAGGTCCTGGTTCCTCAGCACTGTGCCCAGCTCACCCACCGTGCTGGGCTGTGGGAGCCCACAGAAACGCCTCCAGGCATTGTACCCTGCACAAGGAAGGGGACAGGTGGCCATGACCGGGTCTCTCTGCTGCTGCAAGGTGGGGAGGGCACTGGGAACCAAAGCCCTGAGGAACCCTGAACCCTTGGCTCAGACCTACGGGGACAGCAGGGCCTCCTCCGACCATCACTGGCCTTCCCTTGCCCTTACACTAAGGAAAACTCCTAATTGCCACAATTCCTGCCATGTCCAAAAACAGGAGCATCTCACTGTCTCCTGGAGCAATCCAGTGCATCTGTCTGACCCAAGAAGGTTAGTGCCTAAAAGCCTCGGCCACACATAGGGGCTACCCCATAATACAGGCTCAAGCTGTAGGGTTAGGCTGAGCTGGGTCCTAGCCAGGTTCCGAATGTCTACCAGCCTGTTTGCTCATCAGTCAAGTGGAGGTGATAGTCTCTTCCCCTCAGAGCCCAGGAACAGTGGGTCAGAATGAAACCATGGTGGACAGAGCCTCTCAGACTGCATTACTGTTACTGGAGTGTTGTTGTAGCTCAGAGGGTCACAGCGGGCAAAGGAGCCCCAGAGAAGCTGGGAGTTCACCAGAGGGGCCAAGGAAAGGCAGGGGCCTGGCCTTAGATAGCTGTGGGAAAGCAAAGTGTTGGGGGCCAGGCCCACCCTCATTCATGAAGCCCTCCCGGTGCCCAGGGCTGCTTCCACGGGAGTGGAGGACAGTCTTGGTCGTTTATAATTTGTCCACCCTGGGAGGGACATCTTACAGGCCAGATAAGAACTAGACACGAAGATGTCAAGGTGTTGGGGTGGGGAAAGTCAAGAGCTGCTGGGGGCACTGGAAAGGTTAAGACCCTCAAGTGGAAGGGAAGCCACAGGCTACCTGGGAGATGTGGGAGGGAGGCTCCTGCAGCCCCTCACCTGGGAGGCCGTGGTCCCTGCTGCGCTGCATGTTCAGAGCCGGCAAGTCCAGCCCGATCCTCATGACCTGCTCAAACAGTCGCTCCCGGATCTCATCCACCACAATTTGGTTCTGGCGATTCAGCTTGGCAGGGGTGGCCATGAGGCCTCGGAGGATGGGGTCAATGCCACCTGGGGGGCAAGAGGGACAGGGTTGAAGGGAAGGTTCCGCTCGGTACCAGAGGCCTGACGGGAGTGAAGGCAAGTCCTTTTGGGGTCAGGGGGCTTGGAGAAAGGGCTTGGTGCCAAGGTGGTCTCAATGAGCAGAGCCTCACAAGGCGCTCCACGACCCTCGGACATATAGGGCTCAGATTACACCACTCAGACGCGCAAGGTTGGGATGCTCCCAGGCCGCAGGGTCACAACACATAGGAAGGACTCAGCTCCCTCTGAGAGCCCTCTCTGCCCCTACTGTTTATACTCAGATCTGAGAGCAGAGTCAGGCACACTGAGACTGGATAGTCAGACTGGGTCCCGAGGAAGCAGAGAAGGAATATCTCCCTCATCCTGGCTGCCTGCATCCCCCTAGCTGCCGCCCACTCTCTCCTGGCCCAGGTTCCACTCACCTTCCAGCACCACTCTCCAAGAGGCGAAAAAGACCTTGCTGAGTGGGACTCGGGGGTTGGGCCCTGTGGGCCGGTACCGACTGTCCAGGCGGAACATGAAGGGCTGGATGAGGGTGTGCCCATAGCGGAAGGCATTAGTGAAGACGTTGGCAATACGTGGGTCCACCGACTCATTGTAGCTTCGGTACCTGGGCAGGTACTTCCTCATGGCCGCCGGCCCCAGCACCAGGGGCAGGTAGTCTCGGTACGTGATGATCTAAAGAAAGTCACCGGGAATGGGCTCTCAACTCACTCTCTGCGGTCTCTACCTACTCCTGACTTGGAGGGTCCTTCCCATCCATCCTTGGTCAGGGGCCTGCCTCCCCAACTACCAGAGCTAAACCTAAGGCAGTAGCGAGTAAGGGGCATGAACAGAGCTCTACTGCTTGCTGCCTGTGTGACTTTGGGCCACTTATTAACATCTCTGAGCCTCAAAGGTAAAATAGAGATAATTGTATGACCCTCAGCCTTAGAGAATTAAATAATAAAGCTCTTTATTATGTCATTGCATTAACCTCCTTCCCATGAGTTATTCATGTCACATATCTACTATCATATAAACTCCTTGAGAGCCAGGGAATTGAGAGTATTGAAATTACCCTCACTGCCCAGCAAATGCCTGGCCCACAGTGGGGTTCAGAACACGTTTGTGGAAGGAGGGGAGGCGGGAAGGGACAAAGGGTGCTATCCCATGATTTCTCCCAGTGAAAAGGGAAGATGCGCAACAGTCTCACCCTAGAGTCTAGGCGCTCAAATTTCCTCCAAAGCTGAAATGAACCCCACTTGCATCTCAGTACAAATTAAAAACTCACCTTCAGCACCTACAACTCTTTCCCTCCCCAGTACCAGGGAGTGTGCGTGTGCGTGTGTGTGTGAGAGAGAGGAGAGAGAGAGGGACAGACAGGTGCCCTGGAGCATCAAGAGTTGGGAGAGAGAACCAGGAAGAGTGCCCCAGGGATGAATGAGGTAAGGAGGGAAGTTGGATGATGGCAAAAACCAAGCAAAGAGGTGAGCGGCCAAAGGAGCCAAGGGTGACAATGAGACAGAGGAAGGGAGAAACCTTCACCAAACAGCTACTGTATGCCCAGCGGCTGAATCGTCCTCAAGGATGCTCCCAACACCATGCCTGGACCCACAGCAAAGAAGCAAGGCTAGGAAGAAGGGCAGAGAAGGGAGTGGCCTTGCCAAGCACTTCCCATCTGCCCAGTGTTTTCACGTAGGTCATTTAATCCTTTCGGCACCAAGGATGAAGAAGCCAAGGTTCAAGAGGATAAGAAAGTTGCGTAGGGGCACACAGCTGGGATGTCACAGAGGCACATCTGGATCCTCACTCCGCCTGACACTCAGGCCAGCCTACCTGGACCATGGCCCCCACAATCTTCCGGGCCTCCTGGTAGAGCCTCTCTCCATTCCATCTGGGGTTTAGACGCTTGAGCTGTGTGGCCAGGCGGTTGTGCTCTCGAACAAAAAGGGTGTGCATAGAGGTGAGCTCAGGCATCTCACTGGAGCGGGTGTCCCCTGCAGGAAGCAAAAGCCACTGTCATTCCTAAGACCTCCAGCCCAGAAAAGGTTTGCTCCACTGAAACTCTCTGTCTGGCCAAGGCCTGAAACATCTCCTACTTGCCCTGCTCTCCACCCTTCTTTGCACACCAGGCTCAGTTTACACTCTTCCAGGAGGCCTCCCCTGAGGCCCTCAGTCTGCCATGACAGCTCCTTGCCCTGCTCAAGGACACTGCTGGCCAGAGGACTTGTCCAATAGGCATCAGATCCAGCCCATGACCTGTCAACTTCCTGTAGCTGAAACCGAGGGGTCCTTGAGGACAAGATCCAAGCCTTGTGCCTTTTTGTACATGACCATCCTTTCTGACACACACACATCAACCCATGGGGCTTAGCATCAGGCCTCGTACAAAGTATAGGATCCACGAACACTACCTACTTAGCTGATTTTCTTGATTCTGGAAGAGCCACAAAGTAGCATGTGTGTTGGTGGGACCCATTTTCATGCCCCTGTCAAACACAGCTAATGATCACAGCACTCTTTCCTGTTAAAATTGGATGCAAATAGGGGCCGGGGATTTAGCTCAGTGGTTCCACCGTCTGCCTCAAAAGTGCAAGGACCAGAGTTCGATCCCTGGTACCAAAAAAAGAGGATGCAACTCAGAGTTCTTCTCAACACAGGACCCTGGAAAGTCACTACCATTTGAATAGCATTGTCAGCCCCATCCTTACTACTCGCTGATTGTGCAGCCTATGATGGAGCCGGGCTGGAGAGTGGTGTAGGTGGAGTACAGACTATGAGGAACTCACACCTAGGATTCCGTTCAGGAAAACTGAGCACGAATCCCCAATCCCTCTAGTCTGCCCCAAACCTTTCTCTCAAGGGCCCAGAGGGCCAGAGTCAGGGATATTTCAGCAGGACCCTGGGTTCAGCCTGTGCAGACTCTAGAAAGAAAATTTAGGAGGAAAAAACATCCTCTGAGAGCAGCTTCTCCATCCCATGAGCAGCTGGAGGTCACAATGATTCAGGGTGGGGACATACAGCTGGCTGGTCATCACCTCAAGAGGCTAAAGAGGCTGGACTGCTTCCCCAGAAAATTCACACTGGCCCTGACCTTGGTTCTCCTCCCAGGGGCCACCAGGAGAAGGGTGAGGGAGAGCAAGGGCATTTGCCTTGGCTTATCATTGGGTTTACACTAAAACACACTGGCAAGTTTCTGGGTGTGCCTACATTGCTGTCCCAACCTTATCCTGAACTGCAGATGTTTACATTAGAAATCCCACACTCTTTTATGACAGGCAGTCCAGGTATTCTGCAGCAGCACTGTCCACTAAAGCTTTCTGAGATGATGAAATGGATCTAATTCTGCACTGCCCTATAGGGGAACCACTAGCCCAGAAGGCTACTGAGCACTTGAAATGTGGTTAGTGCAACTGAGAGACTGAAGTTTTTATCTAATTTAAAATGAGTAAAATTAAAACAGCCACATTAGCTACTGACTCCAAATTAGACAGTGGGGTTCCAGAGGGGGAAGATACCACATTGCTCTCTGTCCTCTAGTTTCCTGCCCCTGAGGGACTCAACTCTCCCTTCTTCCAAAGTCCAGAGGGGTAAGAGACTGCAATGGACAGAGGCTAGCCCTGGGTCTCCATCTGAGATGGAGGGGGTTTTTGGTTTTTCTTTCCTTTCTGTCTCCATTCAACTTGTCACCAAGGCAACTAGATTAATATCATGAAGTTGGTGAGGACAGCATCTCTCATAGCCAACCCACACGCTGCTTACAAACAGGTTCACTGTGGCTCTCACAAGAAATATCTCCTATCCCAGCCATGCCACCTCTTAGGCCCAGAGCTGACCTGCCAGGAAGCAGGGGATGCGTGCAGAACGGTTGGTAAGGAGACAGGGGTCATCACGCAGTCTGTCGAAGGGCATCAGGGCCCGCCCATTGTCCTGGAAGCGGGTGTTGACAGCCAGCAGCCCCAGCTGGTTGGTCAGGTTTCGCAGGTTCCTGCCCAGGCGGTCCTCACTGCCGTACACCATGCTGGCGTCCACGAAGGAGGTGAGAGCATTGATTTGGTTGCGGATGGTGATGTTGCTCCTGGTACAGGCAGGGCAGGAGCGGAAGAAGGGGATGCAGTCGTTCTGGTTCCTGATGCGGGGGTCATTAGGTGGGATCTATAGCACAGAGAGAGGCTAGACAGACTCTTGAGGGCAGGGACAGAGAGCAGGAGTGGCTTGCTGCTGCCCTTGGGACCTCCGGCCCCCTCAGGCAGTAGGGAGGCCTCTCAAGGGCCCAACGGGATTGCTGAGTTTCCAGTGTGTTGGGCAGGACCCTGGGCTGGAATGCGGGGAGCCCTGGGAGTGGACGCTGCCGGTGCTCTGACCCTTTCTCACTTAATCTCCCCCCTTCCTCCTCCTCTTGGGATTTGGTCCCTAACTCTCACTCTGCCTCCTCTTCCTTTTTCTTTCCTCTCCCCATTTCCATCTCTCCTTTGTCCCTTCCTGTCTCTCACTTGCCCCTGTCCTTCTCCTGTCCCTTCTTTCTCTCCCTGTCAGACCACCTCTCCTTTCCTCTTCCCTCCCTCTTCAGCATGTGCCTCAGGCTGCCCACCTTGGGCCCTGCTCCCACCTGAGACCCTGGGCTCTGCTCTGTGCAGTGCCCCCTGGGGAAGGCCCCTCTGTCAAGGGGAAGAGACAAGGCTGAGCACTTGACAGCTACGCTGAGAGATGTGAGGGACACTGAGAAGGTCCTTATCCCAGGGGTCACAAAGAGCAGTAATTCCAGTGGGGTCATCTCTGCCAGGCCGTGACAGGCAGTGAACAAATGGATGTCCTGGCTGACAGCTGGCTCTACAGAGGAGGACAGGCACTGACTCTGGACACACAAGAGACAAAGACAGCCTCCCTCGGGGGCTGGGACAGGAAACCTGGCCCAGAGGAAGACACGTGCAGGGGAAGAGGGCGGACCTTGAGAGGGAAGCAGGGAGGCTGCTGCAGGCAGCTGATCTCACAGTTGAGGCCAGTGAGGAAGGAGGCCCGGGCGGCGGGCTCAGGGGTGAAGTCCAGGTCGTGGTCAATGAACTGGCCCCACTGCATGAACATGAGGGAGCGCTCCTGGTCCCGCGTCAGCCGCTCAGTGGGGAAGCGCACGATGGCGTTGGAGACCTCGCGAGCCTGCGGGACACCCAGCAGCGTCAGCGGATGCCTCATCCCTGCACCACATGGGTCCGGGCCACCCTCTGCCCGCCCCGAGCTCACCAGGGGCACAGCAAAGCCGTTGCGCTTGACCCTGGGCGTCCAGCCAAAGGGCAGCGACACGCCGTCTTCGTACTCCGCAGGCAGCCAGCGCGCAAAGGCACGGTTGGAGGCCCCCAGCGTGGGGCTGCGTCTGCGGGGGGCACAGGGCATTGTCAAAGGGCAGGAGTGGGGCGGGGGTGATCAGGCCCAGACGCCTCCTGAGCCCCGCCGGGGCCCCACCTGTTGTTGCAGTGGCCGGTAATGGTGCGATACTTGTCCTGCTCCGGGCAGCTCACCCCCACGTCCTCGTAGGCGCAGCCGCTCGACTTGGACAGCAGAGTCAGCTGAGCGGGTGTGAGCACGTCTGAGGGCGAAAGGGGGGTGGAAGGGCTAACACACACACACACACACACACACACACACACACACACCCCGCTTTCCTACTCTAGGAAACCTGAGGCTGGATCCCCACGCACCCTGGAGCTGGGTGCACAGTCTGAGAAGGGGAGGGATGCTAGGATGCCTCTGAGATTCCTTAGACGGGGTTGGGATCAATGGACACTGCTGGAGTCACTGGGTGGGTCCCTGGTGCAGCAGGGGCCCGGGAGGGCTGGAGGGTCTGTTACCGGTGACATTGAAAGGCCCTGGCCACAGAGGCCGCAGCTTCCTCTTCAGCAAGTCTAGGGCCACATGCAGATAGTCAGCGGCCCTCACTGCTGTCCTGGTGGCTGCCACTGGCTGCTTGAAGTAGGACAGGAGCTCCATGGGGCTGGCCAAGCCACTTCGAAGCCGCTGCTTGATCCTGCATGGAAAAAGAAATCCAGAGAAGGGGCACACAGACGCTCAGCTGGGTGCTCCCAGTCCAGCAGTGGACATGCAACATGGAAAGGTTTCCTTTTATAAAAAGGATATGGACCAGGGTGTCTGGACAGAAGCAAGGCCCTAGGAGGGGTGGCTTTGAAGATGTTTTCACACCCAGCGATGCCAAGACAGAGTCCACCCCCACCCCACCAAGCTCCCACTTCATCCATGAACTTCCTGCTGCCTGTTCTTCTCTGAAAGGCCAGGAACAATCTCTGAAAGGCAGGGCCTGCATCCCCACCTTTCCCTTCGCTCCTTGTAGGCCTTGTCCACTAGCTGCTTGGCCTCCTCCATGCAGGTCAGCACCACCGAGGTCTCTACCTCCTCTGGAACAGCTGGGCAGAGCAGGAACCACAAGGTCAGGTCCCAGCCCCAGGAGTCTGCACTCAGGAGTCCCTGGGACTCAGGACCACCTCCAGCACACCCCCTTTTCCCTCCTTTCTGAACTGTTACCTGGAGTGGCACTGTCAGAGGGCTGAGGCATGACCAGAGTAGCCAGGAGCCCTGTGAGGGCCAGGAGCAGCTTCATCTCTGCAGAGAGACCCCCAGCCCCATAAGTATCCTGTGCATTTGGGAGAAGGGACCCCCACCATTTCTCTCCTCCCAGGTCCCTTACTCCCTCCTCCACAACCAGCCCCACCTCAGTGGGCCTGGCCTATGGGCAAAACCAGGCCTCACTGAAGAGGGCTCCATAGGCCCCCATGCGCTTGCCAGCTGCAGTCACTAGCAGTGCCCCCGGGATTCACTTCCACAGCTCACCTGACAGTGGCAACTCCCCTCACAGAATCTGGGCTTTTATGTCCTCTAAGCTGGGGGGCAGGGCAGGCTGAGCAGAGGGAGGTCTGTCCCCAGAGACTGAATTCTCCTCCCCCAAAGGGTTGGGGTACACAGAGAGGAGCCCTTGAAATAAAGGGAGCAGAGTTGTCCCCAGCTCTTGAATTTAGCACGGTCACCCAGGGTTTCTCAGCTCCCCATTACATGTCTACATGCACACACAACTAAGGCCTCCAAAATTCTGGTTAAACAGAGTATCCAGGATTCCTTTAAAACAAGCAAGAGTCAGGCACCAACAGTCTAAGGCAGTGGTGATGAACCTAAGGCATGTATGCTGCAGCTGCAGCAAGCTGTTTTTATCATTGAAAACTAGAAGGTTCACCGTCACAGCCTAAGGGATCATGGGGAATAGAGTGGTTGCTAATACCCTAAGGAGAGGTGAAGGAAAAACCTAGAGTGATGCTGTCCCAATCAGGGGGTGACCTCCACCCCCAACAGTCAGGCTGAGGCAGCCCCCAGTTCTGATGGGGCCAAGGGCACAGGAAATCTGGCTGGAGACTGTTGGGCTTCACAGGAAGGGGGACCCTGGAGGCTATAAGCTGAGAAGCACTGGAACTTCCTCTATCCCTTGCCCTTCCCTCCTCCTTCTTCTTAGCTTTTGGTAGGGGTTTTTGCCTCCAACACCTAACCATCTGTGCTTGGATTTCAGGAACAAGGAGAGAACAGAGCTAGTTGTGGTTAGTGGTCAGTTAGGTGACACAGCCTAGGCCTCTCTGAGAAATGATCAGCACAATTGGGAGGACTGGCATTAGTGATTCAGGATCAGTCTGAAATAGAAGGAAGAGTTTCTCCCTTGAGAAAGGATAGCAAAAAGCTTGTTATTTTCAGGCAGGAAAAGAACCTGGGACTTAGGACTATGTCAACTTCCTGGGGCCTAGCTTATGCCAACCATGACCCTTATGCCCTGCTGGAGGGCTGCCCACACTTCCTACTTTCAGCTACATTTCTGCCACTAACTCTTATTTTCTGTGCCCAGACCACATCTTGGCCAAGGAACAAGAGACAACATCACCCCAGAATGTCATCTCAATGTGTTCATGGATCCTGTCACCTGCTGGGAAAGAGCCCAGGGCCTCCTCACAGAGGGGGCCATCCTTTCAGCATTTTTCTGCCTGGGACTTACTGTCTGTAAACTTGATCGAGTGGCTCTTTGTGAAGAAGGTTCTAGAATTTTGTAGGCTTTTGAAAAAATTTTTAAGTCTACAAGCAATGTTTTTTTTTATTTTTTTAAGCAATGTATTTTAATTGATGAAAAGTTGGAAAAGACAAATAGACAAAAAATACGTTGAAATTACTTATAATCAAGTGAGATTGTAGATAATTTTTTTCAAGGTTTGTCATTGGTTTTTTCACACAAATAAGCAGTAGGAAGGAAAATAATTTCCCATGATTCTACTACTTACCAATATCCTACTTAATAATTTGATATCATATATACATACATATTTTTAAACAGTTATAAGAACAACTTTAAATATTATTTTATAACCTGCTTTTAATACTGAACAATTTTAGCCTAAACATCTATGTCAATAAATGTAGATTTACTTTATTTTTATGTCTGCATATTTTATGTGATTCATTAACCTCATTATTTCTTGTTAGATACTTGGGTTGTTTCCAGTTTTCATTATCATAAACAGTACTAGGATGAACATCAGTGAAGCTAAATCTCCAGCCACATCTTCAGTTATTTCCTAAGGCAACAAGTCTTAAAATTGCTGCAAGTTTGGGCACACCCTGTTTTAAAGCTTTTTGATATATTGTCAGAGGCCTCCTGAAGATTGTATCTCATTCTTCCACCACCATGCGTGAGAACATCTGTTACCCATCGCCCTCAGCAACCCTGATTATTTATTAGTGTCCTTTTGGTCTTTTAAGGGAGAGTCAAGACTCAAGAAGAAAGAGACACTTAATTCAAGCCCTTTCTAGCAGGGACAATAAAAAGGGAGTCCAGCAAAAGAATGACCTTGCCACAGGTGACAGCGTGGCACAGTTCAGAATAATCTCATTGGGCAGGGGATTTAGCTCAGTGCTTCCGGTGCCTGCCTCGCAAGCGGAGGGACCCGAGTTCGATCCCCGGTACCAAAAAAAAGAAAAAAACCCAAAAAACCAAAAAACAAAAAACAGAATAATCTCATTGTCAGGTCCCCTGACTTCCAAACCAATGCTCTTTGCCCAGTGGCCTTGGCACTTATTCTTGACCTTACATTCAATCACTTATTCAACAAGCACCTGCGGAGCCCTTGCATGTGCTGGGTTCTGTGCTGGGCAGTGCGCATGCTCCACAGAGCGCAGTGGGCCTCTGGAGGGCACTGCTGGAACTCCTAAACCCCAAGACTGCAGTCATGGGAGGGAGCCCCACCCAAGTGTACACACACTCTGTCCCTCTCTCCACTAAGCTTTTCCAAACGTCCTCACTCCAGGGCTTAGTCCAACGGCCTGCGGGATAACGGGCCCTCTTGGCTATTACTGCTTACGAAACCATTCGTTCTTTCTCAATGCTGTTTAGGAAACAGTTCAGTTGGGATTACAGCCAGCTTTCCTGTGTGTGTGGGGGGGGGGGACAGAGAGAGAGAGAGAGAGAGAGAGAGAGAGAGAGAGAGAGAGGAGAGAAACATCCCCAGAAGGCTACAGAGTCTGGAGAGGAGGTAGAGAAAGCGACTGTTTAAACACTTTAATTGCACTCAGCCCATAGATCTTCTCTAATTTTTTCTTCAAAATCTTTTTAAAACCTGAGGGCTCCATGGTAGAGTTCTTGCATCACATACAATGCTCTGGAGTCAATCTCCGGCATTTAAAAATTTTAAAAACTTTTTTAAATTAATTTTTAATTTTATAGCTAATACCTGGATGGACAGGGTCTCACAATGTAGCCCAGGCTGGCCTCAAACTCAGGCAATCCTCCTGCCTCAGCCTCCAGAGAGCTGGGATTACAGGTGTGCACCACTGCCCCTGGCTTTTTATTAACCTTGATATATATTGAGTAAGATTTAAGATTATGGATTGCGTTAAAGCTCCCTTTAATTTAGCTTATTGTAAGATAAGTAACAACCCCAATTCCAACCCTCTTCCTCCACTCTTTAGACATTAACACTGTAGCCATTTTGGGGTTTGTCCTTCCAAGCTTTTTGTATGTCTACTGACATACTAATTCACTTACTTGTTCCTATGTCAATAACTCATCATTGGTCAGGAGTGGTGGTGCACCCCTGTAATCCCAGCACTCTGCGAGCCTGGGGCAAAAGGATCACAAGCTTGAGTCTATCCTGGACCATTTAGTGACTAAACAAGGCTCTGTCTCAAAAATTAAAAAAAAAAAATTAGAAGGCCCAAGGGGCCAGGGATTTAGCTCAATGGTGCCGCCGGCTGCCTCCCAAGTGCAAGGTCCTGAGTTTGATTCCCAGTACCAAAAAAAAGGGCATTTCCCAGAACTTGAAAAAAAAAAAAGCTGGAATTAAAGGCTGAGTCCAATCCCCAGTATTGCAAATTAATTAATTAATGAGTTTTAAGGAATGAAAGATTAAGTTCAAGTGAATAAAAAAGAATTAGCTGGAGATGTAGCTCAGTGGTAGAGTACTTGCTTAGCAAACCTGACCCCCTGAATTCAAGGCCTGGCACTGAAAATAAATAAATAAATATTATCTTTATCAATCAGATCAGTTCAAAGAAAAAAAAAGATGTATAAATCCAGCGTCAGTCAGGTGTGAAAAAAATAAATGTAGTTTGGACCTAGGCATGGGGTGGACAATATGACAATGTCAGTCCAACTCCAAAATGCTCTGGCTGAGCAATACTACTGCCAGGTAGGAATTATCTTTCCGATGTGTTCTGAGGAAAGCATAGAGACACCCACACAAGTGTTTTCATTTCTGCCTCACTTCAAACACCAAAAAACTGGAAACAAGCCAAATGGCTATCAAAACTGTTCTTGCCATATTGCGGTCCATTCACATAATGGTGTTTTATGATGCCCTTAAAAATAATGAAGGAGATATATTTTAGCAAAATGGAAAGAAATGTTGCCAAGAGAAAAGTGCTAGTTGCAGTCCATACACCATATTGAAATCCTACAAAATATCAACACATGTGCATACATACACCATGTATTTAAATATGTATAGAAGAAAGGTGCAAAAGCCTAGTAAAAGTGTTTACTTCTGGAAAATGAACAGAAACGTCTTATTTTTTACCTAGTACCCCTGATTCAATTTTTTTTTTTTGGTACCGGTCAAACTTGGGACCTTGCGCTTGCGAGGCAGGCGCCAGAACCACTGAGCTAAATCCCCGGCCCCTTGAATTTTTACTAGGAAAATAATATTTTTTATCATGAAACAACTAATAATCTGTCCTTTCACCTCAACCCCCTGAAGCACAAAACTTTGATTTCTTTTACCCAATCAGTGGCTTTGGATTATGTTTACATTGGTTTCCTAATATGAGGCCAAATAAAGACTGAAAGGGTGGCATTGGCATCCATGGCACCCCTGTGGGAAGCCTGGGTGACATGACTAATATTTTGATAAAGCATAAAACGAAAGTTCAAATTTCTTTCAATTCGGTTCTGGGAAATAGTGTTCTATTATTTTTATGTACATAGTATTGCTGCCAAGTTCTCTGTTACCCATAGACTTCCAGTTCCTGAAATCCAGATGTCCACCTCTATTTCAAGCAAAGCCAAATTAACATGGGCTGCAGTCACCATCAACCAGACCTGACTATGGAGATGCCCCAGACGTGAAAATGAAACTGTTGAACAAAAAATAAGAAGAACTGTGGAAAGCCTAGGGAGACAGAAGGCTGGCTCTGGGAGGGGACACAGCAGGAGAGGAGGTGCCTGCTAGGGATGCCCTCTTCCACATCATGCTGCCTTCCTCAGGTCAGCTACTGTCTTGAAGCAACTATAAGGCAGAAAAACTGCACCTCCAGGCCAGTGGCAGTTTGGAGGAGGGGGTGTTCCACAGGGGTGCGGGACCCTGGCCAGGTTAGGGAGTGGGAACAGCTTTGCCCTGAGGTCTAGAGTCCTATGACTGAGGGGAAGTTCTTGCCTAGATGGAAGTAAGCAGAGGAGATTCCCTAATGGATAAGGTCCCCCGGTTGAGTGTAGGGAAGAGACAGAGGATGAATTCCCTCATTATCCCTACAACTCCCTCATCTTCATTTTATATACCTGCCACAAATTCAACAAGAAGGGCACATCCCAAGGAACCAGCTTTCAACCTCTTCCCATGTCATGACCAAGTGGAATTTATCCCAGGAAAGCAAGGAAGATTAATATTTAAAAACCAATCAATGTAAAAAAAAAAAAACCAATCAGTGTAATTTGTCATACATATGAAAGAAAAACCATATGATTTCTCATTAGATGCAGAAAACCCATTTGCCAAAATTTAGCATTCATTACTGACTTAAAAAAAAATTTTTTTAACTCTCTGAAAATGGATGGAACTTCCTCAAACTTGATGAAGGATATCTATATCTATATTTATCTATACTATCCACAATCATACTTAATGGTGAATACTGAATGCCTTCCCCCTAAGATTAGAACCAAGCAGAGATGTCAGCTCCTGCCATTTCTGTTTAGCATTGTACTGGAGATTCTGTGCAATGCAATAAGACAAGAAAAAGAAATTACATGTATCAGAATTTGAAAGGAAGAAGTAAAACTGTCTTTGCTTATATACAATACAATCATTTATATAGAAAATTCTAAGGAATGTACAAAACAACTACTAGAATTAACAAATGAGTTTAACAAGGTAACACTATACAAGGCCAAAACCAAAAAATCCCCAGTCATTTCTATGTACTATCAATAATCAGAAGTTGAGGGCCAGGGTTTTAGCTCAGTGGTTCCACCGCCTGCCTCACAAGCGCAAGGTACTGAGTACAATCCCCAGAACCAAAAAAAAAAAAAATCAGAAATTGAAATTTAAAATAGTATCACATAATAGCATCCAAAATATGAAGTACTTAGGGAAAAATGACCAAAAATGTGTAATATCTGTACTGAAAACTATAACACATTACTAAGAGAAATTAAAGATCTAAATAAATGGAAGGATGATATACTTTGTTCATAAGTCAGAAGACTCCATTTTTTTTTTGAGACAGAGTCTCTCTATGCAGTTCAGGCTAACCTCGAACTCACAGTGATTCTTCTGCCTCCACCTCCTGCATGCTGGGATGACAGGCATGTGCCACCATGCCCACCTCTCAGAAGACTCAGTATTGTGAAAATATCCATTCCTCTCTAGTGATATACAGATTCAATGCAATCAAAATCGTGATCCTTGGAGAGAGATGCTCCAGTCCCAGGCAAGATGGAATGAGAACACTCATGCTCTCTCTCAATGGCTGTGGCTATAGCCTTACTCAGAGAGCACAGAGCAACTATACAAAGACTCTGAAAGTAAGTCAGAGCAGGCAGGTTAGGGAAGAGGAATAGACTTTACACGTCAAGCAAGGAGCAGTGGGCTTATGAATTTTTTCTCTGATGTCCCCTAACCTGAACCCAATGCAACCTTGAGACCAAGGTGGACATTGGTAGAGAGAGTAGGAAGTCCAAAGAAAAGCATCTTTTTTTTTTTTTGGTACTGGGGATCGAACTCTGGACCTTGTGCTTGCAAGGCAGGCAGCGGAACCACCGAGCTAAATCCCCAGCCCAAAAAGCATCTGTTTTTGACTTAAGGGGCAAGAAAGAGGCCTCTTGGGCCGGGGATTTAGCTCAGTGGTTCCGGCGCCTGCCTCGCAAGCGCAAGGTCCTGAGTTCAATCCCTAGTACCAAAAAAAAGAAAAAAAGAAAGAGGCCTCTTGATGCTCAGGGAATACAGAAAGCCCCAATTTCCCTCCTTCTTCTCTTTTTTCTTCCTGTTCTCCATTATCTTGCACCCCAGCTCCCAAGCAATTCTATGGCAATGATGGAGAGCCAAGTTGGCCAGAGGGAGCTTCAGCCGCTGAGGGCAAATTCCTCTTCAACAGGGGGCGCTGTGCTCCCAGGAAGATGGGGCTTTCCCCTTTTTTGTCATCCCATTACCTGGGCCCAGTTCCAGGCATAGTCACAAGTGCATCCCAGAACAAAGTAAACAAATCCCAGAGAGCCAAGAATCTTAGGGAATCGGAATACCAAGGAGAGGACCAGGGCGGGGGAGTTCAGGAACGCACTATACTCAAGTCCCAGAAAGAGGAGAGATAAACTGAGATATGGGAAAATACTTGAAGAAGAAATAATGGTTGAAATTCTCCAAATTTGGCAAACACATAGTGATTAGTGTGTACACATAATATTTTTTCATTTATTTATTTCAGTGCTAGGAATAGAACGCAGGGCCTCACCCAGCTAGGCAAGTGCTATAGCACGGAGCTATGCCCTAGTCCTGCTGATTTTGTCTCTTAATGGTTCCCAAGTTTGCTGAGCCTTAGTTTGTCCTCACCTTTGTATTTGAGAGTCCCTGTCAGACTGCTGGGTAGGAACTGCTGCCCTGTCATGGAGCTGAGTGCGACAGGGAGGAAGGCGCAAAATGCTCATCTAGGCAATGATGCTTTGTGTTTCTGCCAGATGTCACCAGGCACATAAAGTACAGCCCGGTCTCTGTTGCCTCCACTGTTCTCATCTAAATGAAGACATCTCACCTTGGGCCTCTGGCCCATGGGCAGAGGAGAATGTGCAACTGTCAGTCACCTTGATCACCCCACTAGGAATGCCAACTAATCAGGCTCTCATAGTCCCAGGGGTGTCTTTTGCCCCAGGAAATGCAGCACCATGCAGACTTTTCCCACCTGGAGCCTGCTCAACCAAGGAGCAATGAGCTTTTTCCGAATGTGATCTTTATCTGTTGTCTACCTTTTTGAGAACTCTGCTGTCTCTAGTCTACAGAGTCCCCTTTCTTGCTTTCAGATGGAACTCTTATGGTACTTGCTCATTCATTCTGTTTGTCTCACTTTTATTATTTCTATGGATTTGGTAGGGGAGGAAATAAGGCAATATTGTGTTCAGTCCACCACCTTAAAACTAATCCCTCTTCTCTTCATACATCCTCCTTCCCCATTCCCAAGTCTCTCCCCTCCACAGCCTGCCCTAACTCCATATATATGGCCCAGCAGCTCAGGAAGCTGCCAACTCTTCTCCTTAAGAAATGGAACTCAAGGGCCAGGGATTTAGCTCAGTGGTTTCGCCGCCTGCTGTGCAAGCGCAAGGACCTGAGTTCCATCCCTGGTACCAAAAAAAAAAAAAAAGAAATGGAACTCAAGCCGGGTGTGGTGTTGGCCTGTAATCCCAGAACTCAGGAGGCTGAGGCAGGAGGATTGCTTCTGTCTCAAGAGGCCAGCCTGGGCTACATAATAAGTTTAAAGCCAGATTGAAATACATAGTCATACCCTATCTCAAACAAACAAACAAACAAACAAACAAATGGAACTCAAGACCTTCCTGGTGTTAATTAGTTTTTGCCCCTTCACACTGCAGGTGTAATTTCTGGCTTCCAAAGCCATGAATCCAAATCCCACCATGATACCCCCCAGCCACGATTCCTTTACCCAGGTAGAGTCCAGAATAGCTTTTGTGAAAATAGACTTTATTATAATAAAATGTCTTTTTAAACAAATGCCTCCACCATTCCACACCCCTGGAGACCAGGATGGAGGCGGGGTTCTAAACAATCTCCCACCACAGCGAAAGAAACATGCAGAGAGACATTCACCCAGCCAGGGTGAGGGATGGGCAGCTTGGGAAGGGTGGAGAAGCCCCTACCCACTCTGAACAGGGAATGTATGAAAATAGCTGCATAAATCTGTCCTTATTCTCAGCCCCTGGACACCCACAGGGGTCAGAGGAAAACAATGCAAAAGAGAAGTTGAATCCAATGAGCAAAATAAGGCAAACCCAACTCCTGCTTTCTGCCCCCTGGTCCCCTGGGTTTCAAGGAGGGGTGACACAGGGGCCAGGCGGCGGGGCAGGGAGGGGTGGAGCACAGCGGGGCGGGGTGAGGCCCGCTTCGGCCTGGCCCTCTCCCTCCCCAGCCTGTGCGGTGGAGGCTGGAGGCGCAATGGAGGGGCTGGAGTGAGGCACTGAGTATGTACATATATACAAGGTTCCGCCCGCCGCCCCACGGGAGACTCCAATGCAAGCTTTCCAATCAGGACAGCCAGAGCCACTGTGGAGACAGGCCCCTTCTCCCCTCAGGGTTCCGTCCTGGGTACAGAGAGGGTCAAAGAAGGGACCTACACAGCCTGGTGGGAAACTAGGATTGGACTAGGTGGGTGGACTGGGAGTCAAGAGACCTGAGTCCCATCCTGGTCTCACTGGGGCTCCGTGAGCTCGGTCAGGTTACTCACTGCGGGGAGGAGTTTCCCTCCTACAAGGGGAAGGGGCCCAGCTAGAGGACGCACCCCTCAAGACCCACCTAGGCTCCCACCTTCACCAATTCTCTTTGATTCCCATCCAAGTGCCACCGTGTTAACGCAAAGACCAGGAGCTCTGGGCCGGGCAGGGCCTCCCTGTCCAGCCACAGCAGTGACCTGGGTGTCTCCAGGGGCCACTCCAGAAAGGGCCACAGCTTCACTCCTTCCTCCCAGAGCCCAGTTTCCTGAGGAGCTGCTTCCCTTTGGACAGGAGACCCCGCACCTTCTCAACTGTGCCCTGCGGCTCCCCCAGTTCGGTCCTGGGGAGGCTGCCAGGGCTGGAGGTGCAGTGCCAGCCCAGGGGCACTTCGGGTCCTCGTGCACCAATCCAGTCCTGGAATGGGAGAGAGAAGGTAAGGTTGGGGCTGGCTCCTTCCCCAGCCCAGCTCCTTTTCTCTTCAGCCTCAGAGGCCTGAGCCTTCCATGTCACAGAGCTGAGGCTGAGAACCAGACGTCACGACCCCACAACTGGCCTGCACATGCAGAACACAGAGATGAATGCAGACGGGACATGCAACGTGCATCTCAGTTCTGCCTCATTACCTGGCGGCCCCGGCCAGGTCCCTCTCCTTCCCTGGGTCTCACTACAGGGGCCAGGCTGGCCAAGCTCCAGAGTTCTGGGAACCTGACCCTTGGGATGGATGCCCTCAGCTTCCCACATGTCATCCCCACCCAAGGAAAGGAGAGCAAGGCCACAGGCCACTCAGAGGCAGCTCCTCCTCTAGGGAAGGCAGTGCCGACTGGACTGCACCTCATAGGCAGAAGGAGGGTCCCCGCCAAACTGGCTGATGTGGTCCCTCGGGGGCCTTCTGAGAGTGAAGCCAAGACCATCACATGGGCACAGAGATCTGGACTCTCCCTTGGATGGCCCCAAGAGGACGTAGGGAGGCCTGGCCCGAGGGCATGTCCCAGTGGGGGCATCAGTAGCCCCACTTTAGCATTTCTCTTGTTGAATCTCCTGCTAGCTTCATTTGCAACCCTGAGCTGCTCTCTCTGCCTCAGGCCCACCCGGGCAGTGCTCCGTGGTGCATAAAGGCATGGAGTTGGGTGACCAGGGGAGCCACTAGGGAGCCGCTTGTAATCCCACATCCCCAGCCGGGCCTCCTAGACCTGGCACAGCCCTGTCAGCTCTTGCCAGCTGGCCGGCCTCCCTTCCTCTCTTCTCCCCTCCTTTAGGTCCCCAGAAAGAACCAACCACAGACAGAGCCTGATCAGAGGCGAGGGACCTGGGCACACAGCCAAGCACTCCTGTCCCCTGCAAGGCCCCAGGTGAAGCAGTAGGGCGTCCCAAACCCAAAGGTTAAAGCATTGACTGCCAAGGCTATGGCCACTGTTGGAGACCCAGAGAATGCTTTGGCTTATCTATGGATTTCAGCTCTCAAAGGTCCATCCCTCTTTCATTCCTCAACCAGGGAAATTTGAGAGGTGGCAGTAAAAGCATGTATGTGGCTTCCCTGACAGGTCATAATGCAGAGGACAAGGGTGGAGAGGCTGTTATTATTGGTGACATGACAGGGTCATCTTTCTGTCACCCAGAATAATCATAATATTATAATACCAGAGCCATACAGTATCATAATACCACTGATGAGTCATAACATATGGTATCACATAACAGTCTACAAGCCACATGGATGATGAGCAGACTGAGGAGCCAGCTAACATGGGACATCATATGCTAAGATATGTGCCCCTATGACAGCTGGCAGTGCCCAGGGTAACGGCAGACAAGGGAGGGGGATGATCTCACACTCAAATCTGGCTCATGGCAAGAGCTCCCTCCCCATTCCCTAGAAGAAAGTGGGAAAGCCAAGTCAGCTGATTTGAGACAAAGGGGTGCTGTCCGATCACAGTGAAGTAGGGGTGGGGCTGCATGGACTTAGGGGCCAGTCCCCTCACTTACATGTTGCTCTCTCTACATATATCTATCTCCATCTAGCACTGGACTCTTCTCCTCCTCGTTCTCTGAGAACAGGGAACAAAGAGAGGAGGTGGGTTACCGACAGACCCATATGCTCTCTGCCCAGTCACCGACGGCGCCCACTTGGCACAGCCTTCAAGTTTGGACCTCTGCAGAGAAGCCCTGTGCTTTCTGCTTGGGGCTTGGCCTCCTTGCCCTTGCCCTGCACTCTGAAGCTGGAGGTTTAACCGTCGCTCCCCCTGTCGCAAGGTGAGGCAGCCGTAAGAGAAAGAACCAGGAAGCTGGGCTTGCTGGGCTACTGGCCTCACCAGGCACCTGGGGACAGAGAGCCCCAGCAGGGTGGGAGTAACTGAACCAGAGCGTGACTGCCTAGAAGTTGAATGGGGGTCCTTTCCCACAGAGCCCCCTCCCCTGCATTGGCCTGGGGTGTTGATGCTTGGGGCCTGGGATCAAGGTCACAGCCATCACCCTGTGGCAGACAGGGACACACCCAGGCCTCTCCTCTAGGAAAACAGCTCAGCTGCAGCCCTCCACCGCACTGTCTGGGCCCCACCTCACCAGCAGGGAAAGACCAAATGCTGAGTTGGGAGCGCAGTTCCTCACTCACCTGACTCTCTGCCTGGGGTGTCCTGGGTTCCCTGTCTGGGCTGCCTACCTCAGGCCCGGGGCCCTCCAGGAAGTTGGATGGAACCAGGCCCCTCTGTCCATTCAGTTCTCCCTGGGGAGGAGATGCTGATGAGATGAGGACGAGGCCGGAGGTCCCAGCCTTGCACTCTGGACCCCGAGTCCCCCGGAGAACAGCCTGGAGCCAACAGCACTGCGAGAGGAGCTGATGCCATCCGCCCAGCCCCTGGCCCGCTGGTCAACTGGGTACAAGGCCCCCTTTCTGACAGCGTCCTCACATAGTAGAAACCATCGTCATCCATGCTCCCAAACACAGTGATGACATCTCCCGCCCTGAAGGGCAGCTCTGCCTGCGGAGACAGCACGGGGCAGGGGTCAGGCTCAGGGAGGCCCACCGCTACCCCCATCTCGAGGCACCCTCTGAGGGTCCTCACCTCCACGTCCATATTAGGGGAGTTTTCCCGGGGGTTGTAGTCAAATGCAGCTACCATGGGGTGGGGAGCTTTCAGGGCAGCAGAGGCAACCACCTTGGGGGGACCTGTAGAGAGAGAGGAGAAGAATCAGGACTTCAGACCACCCCCGTTCCCACAGCCTTCTGCACGGCAGGCAGGATGACTCCCTATTCACAACCATCTTACTAACTGGAGGCCCTGCGGAGAGGCCGGAGAGGTGACCCTGCCCGCCTTCTTTCCCCAGACACCCCTGGCCCGGGATGGCTCCTCACCTGCGAAGGGCTGAGCAGGGCCTTCCAACTCTGCTGTGGAGAAAAGATGCCTCTGAGCCCCATCCCGCCCTTCCTGCTTCGTTCCAGGCTGGAGGTGGTAAAGGGCAGGCAGGACGCTCACACCCTCAGGAGGGACGTGGGAGGGGAAGGGTGCCCAGAGTCCACTGGCACAACCCTTTGGTTTGGGAGTGAACTAAGGCCCAGAAAATGTAAGTGTGCATGGCTGCACAGAATTTGCAGGCTGGTGCTTTGGGGAACAGAAATCCTGGCAAGCAATCCCCCATTCCCACCAGAATGAAGCCCCACTGGAGGGGGTGGATATGGGTGAAGGTCTCTTCCGATTCCCTTTATTTGCTCAAAATCCTACAGGTGTCTCCCCAGAGAGTCAAACAGTGCCACCTCAAACTCCCCCTCAACACGGTCCATCACAGGCACCTGCGAGAGATGGGGTCTTACTCACCTTTCTTAGAGCGGCGGGGCTTGGGTGGAGGCCCAGCTGTGTGGGTTGTGGAGTACACAAAGGGACTATTCCCTGATCCAGGAAGGCAAGAAGGTATGAGAGAAACTGAGGCAGGACAGGGAGATAGGACAGACTCTGGAGTCTCTTCTTGGGGCTGCACAGGGTTCTTGAGCTCCTTTCTTTTTTTTTTTTTTTTTTTGGTACCGGGGATCGAACTCAGGACCTTGCGCTTGCCAGGCAGGCGGTGGAACTACTGAGCTAAATCCCTGGCCCCTGAGCTCGTTTCTTAAAGGGCCCCATCTCACATTCTCAACAAGAGCACCTCCCAACCTCCGGTCTGAAGTGCACAGCTAGCATCATTGGATTCCCCCAAAGAGGTTTCCCCTCATGGCCACCCTGGCCTTGGTTCCAATGGCTCTGTGTAAATGAGGTACCCAGCCACCTCAGACACACAAATCACTCAAGGTGGGGTTGGGGAGGGACCCAGGTGGTGGGAAGTGAGTGAGGACAGCAGGTCATACCTGTGCCCTCAAGGACAACATCTGGAGACAAATAACCTCGCTGGAACAGCTGCTGCCTCCCTGTGGGACTGTCCACAGCCACTTCAGCCACCATGTTGCAGGGGATATAGCCTGTCTGGCCCCCACATTCGCCCCGATAGAAGCCATCAGCATCCTTGTCCCCAAACACCTGGAAGCAAAGACCAGTTTTCTCAGGAGGCCAGTTCAGTTTGCTCCCTGCACCCCCAGACCCTGAGCCCTGGCAGCACCCCACTTGGGACTGCAGAAGAGTGGCCTGTCCTCTGCGAGCTGAGGGACACAGGAGGGGAAACGGCTAGGAATCGGGATCCCAGGGAAATGAGACAACAGCCCTTTCTGTATCACCACCTGCTGTCTACACAGTCCTGTGCCCAATGCACCCCAGACTGGATCCCCAAAACCTCAGAGAAACAGAAAAAGCCTTCACTCAATCTTTGGAGGAATAGTAAGAGTGAAAAGGTTAACAGCAAACTGGCAGACTGTGGCCTGTGGTGGGCAGATAAGGGAGGGCTGTACATTGGGCTGTTGATTCCACAAACAACCCTGTGAGGCAGACATCATTACTAGCCCCGTTTTACCAATGAGAAAACCAAGGCCCGGAGCTAGGTAATCTACGCAAAGTAACACCCAGAAGTGGCAGAGGCAAGGTCCAAACCCATCATTTGCCTCGCAAAGCTGTGTTCTCCTGCACCCCACCACCACCATGATGCCTCCAGCAGAAGAGAAGGAGGAGGAGGAGGAGGAGGAGGAGCAGGAGGAGAAGGAGGAGGAGGAGGAGGAGGAGGAGGAGGAGGAGGAGGAGGAGGAGGAGGCAGCAGAGGCAGCTGTATCTCAATGCCTAGAGTAGGCAATGACTAGAATCTGGAGTTCTGGGCAGAGGGTGAGTCACTTACCTTCAAAATCTGGCCCTCCCGGAAAGGGAGCTCCTCCTCTCCAGCATCAGGGTTGGGCGACATTGACACAGGGTCATAGTCAAACAGAGCCACAAAGACCCTGACAGGTAAGTCCCAGTGAGCCAGCGTTTCTGGGGGGCTCCTTAGAGGGGCTGTGGAGAGGGTGGAGGACAAGGCAGTGGCTCAGTGAGGGCTTAGGAAGTGCTCCATCAAGCCAAGCCCAGCCCCATGGGTGCTCACCCAGCTCGGTGGTGCTTGGCCTGGGCACCCAGGCCCCTCTCCTCTGGGGGCCCTTCCGCCCAGAGCTGTTCTGCCCTCTGGCCTCCCCGGTGTCTGCTGCCTGCAAAGAGAGGGTGACAGATGGCAAAAGTGACTCACCATCCCTCTGGTGAGCCCACACTCCCCACTCTGCCCCAGCAGCAGCAGCAGCATAAGCAGCCCAGCAGGACAGGGGCACAGCATTCCTCTCCCGGGTCCTTGTGGAGACACCAGGCGCCACACGGAGGAAGGGGCAGGAGGGAAGGCCCCAGCCCAGCTCCCCCCAGTAGATGAGTGTGGTCCAGGGAACTGCGGTGGCCAAGGAGCACATGAGAGGACTGTTTCTCCTGGGTGTCGGGGCTGGTGACTCTTGGACATGGCATCACAGTCAGTGTCCTGAAGACATAACTAGCTAGGCAGAGGAAGGGGCCACCCTGCCCGAAGGTAGCAACTGGCAACTGGTAGTGACAGAACAGCACACATCCCAGTTTCAATCAGCAGAAGCAGCAAAGCAGTGGAATATTTGGTGGGAGAAGGCGGGTGAGGGGCCGGGAGGCCCGAGCCCACCTCTGCTGATGGAGGCTGCAGCGTGGAATGGGAGTGGCCGGTGGGCAGCAAGCAGGGCCACCAGGCAGCAGCAGGCGGGGGCTTCCGGGGATGGGAAGTGGGCACAGACCCGGGAGGGTGGCTCCTTGGCTCTGCCAGGTACACTTCGGCCTCTCCGCTCTGGCTCCCCTTTCTCCCAGGCCGGGAGGTGTGGGTAGGGGTTGGGGCCTGAATTGACCTTCAGAGGCCCCCTTGGCCTTCCTGCAGGTGCCGTGCCCCAGGGCTCCCCATCTGTAGGGTAGCAGGAGCTGGTGATGCTGATGCCTCCACTGTCCACCTCCTGCTCATCCTCAGAGTCATATTCGATGCTGATTTCTAAGCACTTGGGGGAGAGGCAACTGGCCAGGCCAGACTCCGGGGCTCGCCCATGGGGGTATCTCCGGGAAGTGCCTGGCCGCCCTTTCCCACTAGCCTCTGGTCCACCCTTGGCGGCCTCAATCACAGGGAGGCCACTCCTCTCCCGTGAGGGGGCTGGCCGTGCAGAGGCCTGGGGGCCGCCATTGCTGAAAAGCCGGCTGCAGTGTTCTCGGGGATCTAGAGGCCGCCTGCGGTTTGGGGGCTTCTCAGGAGAGCCGCCTCTCCTCCGGCTGCTTCCACCAACTAATCCAGGCATATCCACTAGGTGGTCCCTGGCCCTGGAGAGCTCAGGAGACAGGGGACACCGGCCAAGTCCTGGGGGCTGACGGCCCTCACAGCCCAGCCCCAGACACACAGGTTCCAATGGACTGGGGTCTTGGGAAGAACAGCCTGCCCCTGGCTTCTCCTGCTCCCCGTTGTCTTCCTCGTCCTCCTCTTCCTCCTCTTCAGGGATGCTAAAGAGCTTTTTGCTGCAAAACTGCTGGAGGGGCAGCTCCAAGATCTGCTCCAAGATCTCCTCGTCGCTGTCAGTCTCACAAAAGGGGTCAGGCTGGGGCTGGGAGTGGGGAGAAGAGAGCAGCAGGGAAGAAAGGTCCATGGAGAAGAGGGGAGAGCTGTGATCTTTGCCCCTGAGTGAGGACAGGGCTTAGGGTAAGCCCACAGCCCTCCCTCAGCATCCTCCAAGAGGAAAGACTCAGAGGGCCCATGGCAGATCCAAAGTCACACGCATGTCCAGGCAGAACCGGAGGAAGAACAGGGAACACACCCAAGGATCAAATGCCATCCCCTGTGGGGCAGGGGTATCAGTGAGCAAGCTGTCCCTGTCACCATGGGAGGCTGCCCCATCCCCTCCCCAGAGCCTGGCAGCACAAGGCTCTCAGATGGCACCAGCTTCCCCCAGCCAGGGCACTGCATCCGGTGGGCTGGAGGGAAGGTGTGCAAGTCAGCCTCTCTTCCCTTATCTTCCCAGCAGGGCCAAGGCCCATTCTGGGCTTTTTCAGAGCTGCTGCTCAAGCCATGGCCCAGGCCACACACCTAGAATGTCACAGGCACTCAGTGGCAGTGATGGAGAAGCTGCTGACACATGGGATGGAGGCCCTTAGAGCCTGAGGCCCGGAGCCCACCAGCCCCTCCTCACCCCATTACCTTGGCCCCGTTCTCCCTGACGCTGTTGCCAGCAACCTGCTTTTGGAAGGCTCGAGTCCTGGAACCCAGCTCCTCTTCCTCTTCCTCTTCCTCCTCCTCCTCCTCTTCCTGGATGTCTGACAGGTCTGAGTTGCGGCCATGATCCACAAGTGGGTTTACCAGACGAACCCCAAGCTCTGCCGTGTCTTCCCTCTGAGGGGAGTGAGACAAGGGAAGAAAGACAGGAAGAGCTATGAAGGACACTGGGGACTGTGGGACAAAGTCAGCCCCCACAAGAATAAGAAAGAGTCCTTGGCAGAGGGAGAAAGAGCCATTCCAAGAATGCAGGTGTGTACCAGGGGGTGGGGGATGGAAGCCACAGCTGGAAGACAAATCTAGGGAGAAAAAAGGAACAAGAAATAAACACACAACACAAAGGTGTCAGAAGCAACCAAAGCAGAGGACAAGCAAAGAGGGCAGCCACATCCGGGATGGCAAAGGGTAGAGAGGCAAGCCCCAACTCTGAGTGTGACCCCAACCCCTACCTCAGGCCTGGCTCTCAGCCCAGGGTCAGCTCCACAGCAGGCCTCAGGCACCCTCTGCGTCAGGGCTCCCTGGGTGGAGCAGACCATGGAGCCGGCCTCTCCTGCAGTCCACTCAGCCTTCTGTGCGGCCCAGCAGGGAGCCGAGGGGCCGGGGTCTCTCTCACCCATGGTTGACTGGCTGGGCCTCCTCTCCCCTGAGACTCCCAGCACAGCTGCCTCGACCTCCTCCTAAAGCAGGCAGCACTGAGGAAGGGCCAAACGCAGACTCTTCTGCCAGCCTGCATGTGCTCGCCCCCACCAGACAGCATACCTGGGAGCAAGGTGGTGGAGGGTCCTCCTGGACTCCCTTTGGCATCTCTCTGGTAGGGCTTGCTGGGGGACCTCCTGGGGGGCCTGGAGTTCCATGGGAAGCAGGGCGCTGGAGGGGAGAGCTGGGGTCCCCAGGCCCTGGGGGTGCTGGAGCAAGGGGTGTTCTCGCCTCTGGGCTTGGTCGTGGTGAGGGGCAGGTGACCCTGGTGGATGAACAGGCGGAAGCCAGGGCCGGAGCAATAGGAGCGGGCATGGAGTCGGCCGACTCGCCATGGGGCGACATGGTGCGCACAGTCACTTCATGGCACACCTGCAGCAGCTGGAGCTGGGACAGCTCCACCAGCACGCTGCCTGCTGTGGGAGAGGCCACCTCCATGATCTGCAGGGAGGAGAGCACACAGGAGGGGAAAGTGAGGGTGAGAGAGCCAACATCACAACAATGACAATGGCAGCAAGCATCCTGCTAGGTGAAGCCCTCTTCGTGCCTTATCTCATTCAGTCTTCTTGACCTCATGGCTTCAGAGGTAGAGCAGTTTTAAATCCCTCGTGTGCTACCAAAGCCTATGCTTTTAACCAATCTTCCATCTGGGGCCCAAATGCCAGGGGCTGGCTATCTCTGCCAGGCCAGGGAGACAAGGGCTCAAGGCGTGGCAAGGAGGGATGCCCATCGTGCTCCCAGGGTACATGCAGGTGGATTTCCCAAGCCATACCTTCTGTCCATCAGCATAGATGGCGTAGCCTGTGACCCGGACACCGTTGGATGTACCAGCAGCATCAATGGTGACTGGGAGCCAACTGATGATCAAGATGCCAGGGGAGGGCCCCGGCTCAATCTGCACATCCAGGGGGGCATCAGGTGGGCCTGGGGGAAGTCAGGCAGGAAACCCAGAAATGTAGGATACTCTCTGCCTGAGATTGAGGATCCCAATCTGCCATTTCATTGCCACCGGCAGCTCGGCCAGTCTCCCCTGCCACCATCACCCATCCCTGGCTTCCTGGCTGTTCCAGACAGCAGTGCCCACCCCTGCATACCTGCAGGGAGTGTGGTGAACTGCAGGGTGGCAGCCCGCTGCTCTGGCCTCTCCCAGCCTGGTTCCCAGGCTCCTCGGGGTGGGAGCTGAGCCTCCACCCGGGCCTGATAGAGTGTGCCAGGCCGTAGGTTGCAGAAGGTGGTCCAGTAGGTGGTGGGGCGGGCAGGCGGGCACTCTTCCCCATTGAGGTAGATAGCATGGGCCACGTTGCTATTGCTGGGCACCCAGGTGATCTCAGCAGATGTGGCTGTCAACTGATGGACCCGCAGCTGGCTAGGTACTACCCCAGCCCGAGCACCCACAGCCAAGCAACAGCGCAGAGGGTCGGAGCTGCCCTTGCTGGTCAGGGCCTGGACAGAGACATGGAGGGGCCCAGCCCGCAAGTCCAAGTTTTCAAGCACAGCCTTGGGGGGCGCCCCAGGCCCCAGGGCCTGATGCAGCTCCCCGTTCACGCAGATGTGGAAGCCACAGAGTTCTACTCGCTCAGGAGGCAGCTCCCAGGCCAGCACCACACTATGGGCCAGCTGCTTGAGGACCACCAGTTGGCGAGGGTAAGGCACCGCGGGAGGCTCGCCCAGGCCCTCGGGAGGGGGGCTCAGGCTGAGCTCCTCTCCTGCATCCTCCTCCTCCAGTCTGGGCTGGCTATGTCCCCCGCTGCTCTGGCCCCCGCTACTGCTGCCACCCCCACCTCCGCTCGGGAAACTGAGTTCAGGGCCTGAACTGCGGGACAAATCGGCCAGCTCCAGAGGGAGGGCGGTCAGGAGGTCATCATCAGATACACGCTCCACAAAATTGGAAGGGACCAGGCCCCTTTGGCCATCCATGAGCTCCCCTGGCAGAGGGAGAACAGGAAAAGGCAGGGAAGGGAAAAACAGACAGAGAATAGGTAAAGAAAAACCCGTTCAATAAATGTTCTTTAGTAATGGCTAATGAGTGATCTTAATTAAGCATTTGATTCAAATCAACATTTACCCAACAGTGCTTTTCAAAGACAAGAGCAGTCAAGCTCTGGATTAGAGAATTATTGTTGGGTTTTGTAGGCGTTTTGAGTTATATAGGACAGTACTTCTTAAATTTTAATGCACATGTGAATCACTTGCAGATTTGTTCAAATGGAGATTCTAATTCAGTTAGGTCTGGGTGGAGCCGAGTATCTGCATTTCTAACAAGGCACCAAGGATGCTGGTACTGAAAAAATGTAGGACAGTGTCCATGTTCTAAGGAGATGCATACTGAAGTATTTCTAAAGTGTCACGATGTCTACGGCTTGCTTTGAAATCAATTTTTAACCTACATATGTATGATAAAGTAAATACAGCAAAGTGTGAAAAATTGTAAAATCTCATTGGTATTTAGGTGCTCTTTTGATTTTTCTATATATTTGGAAACTTTCTTACTAAAAAGATGAAATATGTGAACAGGTGAAGAGAAGAAACAAGGACTGAGGGTGTAGATTAGCTTTTTTTTTTTTTTTTTGGTACTGGGGATTGAACTCAGGTCCTTTCACTGGCGCAGCAGGCAGCGTAACCACTGAGCTAAATCCCCAGCCCTAAGGTGTAGATTAGTGGCAGAGCACATGCTTAGCATGTCCAAGGCCCTGGGTTCAATCCCCAGACACGCACATGCGCACACACGATAAGAAAATAGACGGTACTGATTGGAAAGCTCCTGTGGATTTTACATGGGCCTGAGGAGGGGGTAAGGGGCTGCAATGCCCCTCACCTTCCCTTTGTGAAAAAGAGACATCCACAAAGGAAGAGGGACACGACCATCTCATCAGAGCAAGAGAAGAAACCTTTAGAGACCACAGAAGGAAGTGCCAGGAAAAAGTCACTTGTGGGTTCTAGAAGACATTAGGGCCTGCTGCAGGCCCATGCCTCAGAACATGGCTGGCAGTCAGCCCAGGGAGCAACCAGTGGCGAGTTCATTTTCCACGTCTGTTCTGAAGAATTGACAAGAGTTTTTGTAGAACATTTGTTGTTTGTTTGAGGGATATCAGGGGAGAAGGAAGCCAGGCATACACATGTCATGTCATGGCCAATTTAAGGAAGGAAAAAACTCAGGAAGCAAACAGCTCGTGGGAGGAAGGGGAAGCAGGGGCCATGGCCCAGAGCAGAGGGGTGGGGTCAGCAGAAGCCTTGGAGCCTTGGAGTCTTGAGCCTTGGAGTCCCTGGGAGTTTACCCAGAAGTAACTTGTGGCCCTCATCCTCTCCTTCTGCTTATATAGGAAAGAAATAGAGTGAGAGAACTTGAAGAGACAGTAGAGATCTTCACCAAGTTCGATAATATATTAAGCTCTGTAGTGCGCTGAACAGTGGCCACCCAAATCCTAATCCCTGGAATTTGTGAAAGTGACCTTGTTTGGGAAAAGCATTTTTACAAATGTAATTAAATTAAAGATCTTGAGAAGAGATCATCCCAGATTACCAGGGTGGGTCCTAAACCTATCGACAAATGTTCTTATAAGATGAAGACACACAGAAGACAGACACTCAGAGAAGAGGAGCCAACATGACTGCTGATGCAGAACTGGAGTGATGTGGCCACAAGCCATGTAACACATGGAGCCCCCAGAAGCTGAAACAGGCAAGCAATGGAATCTCCCCTAGAGCTTCCAAGGGAGTGCAGCCCTACCAACACCTTGATTTCCGACTTCAGCCTCCTGAAAAAGCCGATGAGACAATAAATGCCTGCTGTTTGAAGCCACCCAGTTGGTGGTAATTTATAAGGTAGGCCTGGGCAATTAATACATACACTAGCACTAGGAGTGTGGAATACAAGTCAGAGCCCTGAACAAATCTGCAGCCTGCAAGGCCAGAGCTGGAGCCTAGGCCAGTCAGGCTCAGGCCCACCAAGCTCATGCCACTTAGAACATGACAGCTAGAGTCAGATGTGAATGAAGCAGTGTCTTAATAAAGCTGGACAAAGAATAGGGCACCCTGCACCCAGTTGTCTACATTCTTTTAAATCTATCTCCATTCCTCACTCCCTCAAATTGCCTAGTTCAAATTCTAATAATTTGGGGAGTTAATCTTTATGCTTTTGCTGCCCTCCTCTGAAAAGTAGTGTTGTTTGTTTTCATTAAAAAAAAAAAGTCTCATTCTCCCAGCAGCAATTTAATCCTGCTCTTCAAAATCTACCCCTACGGGGAGTTTACCCATCTGGACCACAAAACCAGGTACCATCATTCCCAGCAGCTACTCAAATAAAGGGCAGAGGGCCTGGGGAAAGGAGTTGAGCAGGATCCAAAGCTTTCTGTGTTCTGCATTCAGATCTAATCCCTTTCCTAAACCTCCACACACAGTATGGCCCCTGCCCTGCCCATACCTTATTCCAGTCTCTGTCCCCACCACTACTGCAGGATGCAGACTGGTGTCTGTGCCAAACCATCCCGAAGGAGGCTCCCTTAGCCATTCCTGCTATAGGCCCTGTCATGGGAATCTACCTCAGGTGCCTGAAGAGCCCTCTGGCTCCCTCCTGCCCCAGCCTCGGAACTGGAGAACTGTCCTGAAGCTCATGCCCTGCCTGGGCCCTGACAACCACTTGCTGACACCTTCTCCTGGGATCCTGATCCCGGTCCCTCCTCTCTACACACACTTGCAGCCTAGCATCAAATCTACCTACACTGCAGGCCTGACCTCAAGTGTCACTAGTGTTAAACATCGTCATGCTCTGTTTACTAGCACAAAAATGAATAGAGCCAAAATCCTCTGTGATTGTGGTATGTGCTGGTCTGTCCTGCTTGAAGCCAGAGCTCTTTTGTTCTCTTTCCCCACTGGCTGCCAGGTCTCTGAAAGCCTCTTAACTAAAAGTTATAATGGGCTCAGGGTGCTGTCGGATGGGAATGGATGGATGGAGATCCATAGGAACAGGAGCATAAAGACCAAAGAATAGACAGAATGATCCCTACTACTGTCCTACCTTCAAAAAAACCATCCTCGTCCATGTTGCCATAGACATAGATGTATTCGCCAGCTGTTAGCGGAAGCTCTGCCTCTGGATTCTCATTGGGGCCTTCGAAGGGGTTGTAGCTGTTGGGGGAGCACAGATAAGAAGGACAGCAACGTACATGGCATTTACATACCGGTCGTCTCTCACCCTGCACAAGCCTTTACGGAGATCTGGTTTCCACCTTTAGCCAAGTAGAGCATTCACTGTGCCTAGACTGGCTCAACTAGGTTATTTAGAATATGTCCACCTGGGGTTCTTGAACCACCCCACCATTTCCAGAGGTCTCCATCTTCACCTAGACTTGCCCTCCCATACACCCCAAATCTGGGAAGGGAGAAGCAAGAGTGAAGGGCCCAACCGGACTGGGGATTTAGCTCAGTGGCATCATGCCTGCCTTGCAAGTGAAAGGTCCTGAGTTCGATCCCTGGTACAAAAAAAAAGTGAAGGGCCCACCTATAGCGCGCGAGGTAGACTTGGACCCTGGGTCCTCCCAGGTTGCCCTCCGTCGCTGCTGGGAGCAGGGAGACGCTGTCTACCTCCAGCTCCTCCACTTCACTGGCTGTGTCCACCTAAGGGTAGACAGAAAGGGCTGGCTCCTCTCCAGGGCCTGGGCCAACAGCACAGCAGGCAGGTTTGCAGGCTGAGTCAGAGACGAGCCACTGCTTTGAGGAGGGGAGTGAGCACAGATGCAGCCACCCTGGCAAGGCCAGCACCAGAAGGCCCTGAGGTTTCTAAGCAGCACCTGAGCCAGCAGGTCCAGGAAGCATCCAGCTGCCTAGGCAGAGGTAGTAGGTACAACCTGGACCAGTCCCTACATTCTGTCCTCTACTCCAGCGGCCCAGTAAATAAGACCGAAAGGCCATGCTGGTATGGGAAGTAGACTGGAGACTGAACCTAGGGCCTTTGTACATCAATGACTCTTTTTGAGACAAGGTCTCACTAAGTCACCAAGTTCCCCAGGCTGGGCTCGAACTTGCCATCCTCCTGCCTCAGCCTCCCAGAGTGCTGGGATGACAGGCTTGTGCCACCACTCCCAGCTTCAGCAAAGCATCTCTTGACTGTAAAGAGGTGGAAACTAAGGAAGCGGAAGGGGCTGAAGAAGTCCCTGCCTCTAGCATGGTGACAATTCTTCTGTGGTTCAGCCCTGGAACCCAGAACTTCCTGTCCACTAGAAGGGGACAGACAGAGTGGGCAAGCAGGGGGTCCACCACCACCTCCAACACCAGCACCACTGTACGCCACGAGAGGGCAGCAAAGGCCCAGGGCTGGGTTCTACCCCTTGCTAAAACTTCCCAACCTGCCCCCTTCCACTTCCTGGGGTTTGTGGGTAGAATGAGGAGAAGGTGATCTGAAGAGCTGTGAGTGATGCCCAAGAACTTAGTGATTGATGGTAACAGGTGCCAAGTGTTAAGTACTTCCTGGATGCCCCGTGAGGCGAGAAGCACTTTCCTCTTACCTTAGTTCAGGTAACCTTTGCAGCCATCTCAGGAGGCAGGTTTTATTATCCCCAATATTCAGATAAGTAGACCAGAACCCAGAAAGGGTGACTCGCCAATGACAATGACAAATCTGGGATCTGAATCCCAGAACCTGTGCTCTTTCTCACACAACCACCTGTTTCTCTACAGATGCTCTTACCAACAGTCTCATTAGGCAGATCCTGGCACCAAAGGGTCTCCTTAATCCAGCCCAGGACCCTAGGGCCTCCCTGGGCCCCTGAGGGTGGGGCTGGATGCCCCCAAGGTGGGGCTGGCAGGGGACCCTGGAGAGCAGTGACAGGCTCCACCCACTCACCACCCAGGGAGGCGCCCACAGGGTATCCACCTCCCAACTTGGAACAAATGCCCCCCACTCCTGAGGGATCCGAAAGAGATCAGGGCCAACCCCTCCTGCCTCCCCCAAGCCAATGCCAGACCCCAGGCCCTGTCCCTAGCACTGACCTCTGGTGTGGGACATGATTTAGGGCTGTTGTGGATGGACTCGGAGCGTGAGGAGTTGGAGAGAGACTCTGCCTTCTTGGCTGTCCTTCGAGGGACCCCAGTAAGGGTGGCAGGGGCAGGCTCGGAAGACTTTGGGGTGCAGCGTCCTGGGGAGCCCGGTGGGAGGTCAAAGTCTAAAGAGAAGATGGCGTGTGGGCTTGGGATCTGTAGCCTGAAGTGGGACCAGGGAGACTGGGTGGAGCCTCCTGGATATGGGGGTCAGGCCCTACACAGCCAGATTTCTTTATAAGAAGGGAAAAACCTGGGGGAAACTTACTCAGCAGAAGGCTAGGTGATTTCACATTATTTCACATGGTCCTCAAAGCTTAGGAAACTATGGTCCAGAGAGGTTAAGCAACAGGCTTAATATCGCATTGGCTCTTCAGTGAATGGAGCTGGGACTACCAGATCTGACTGACCCCCAAGCCCTGACTCTTCCCAAAGCCGTATAGCCTGCTACTGGCTCCTGGTGCCCGACTCCCAGCTATGACCATAGAGGTTTAGTTACAGGAGGAAGCACAGTGGCCTGAGGTGCCTGGGCTGGTCTTCAAGACCCTCACTCCTGGGGGCTTCCCTCTGCCCCATCAGAGCTTGGCTCCTTTCAGATACAGCTTGAACTTGCTCTATGACTTTGAATGGGTTGCTAGCCTTTCCTGATCCTGAATTCTGCTCTGTACAGGGGGCTCCAGGCCAGTGTCACTGGGTCCACCTTACCTTTGGGACCAGCCTCTCGGGAGGGCTGAGGGGTAGAGCAGCAGCAGGGGGCTGGTGGGTGGTCCCCGAGGGCACTGCCACCCAGGGCGGAAGTGAGCAGGTCCAAGGGGCCTGGGTGCAGACGGAAGGCCTGGAGCTCCTGAGCCAGGAGACTGAAGCACTCGGTTTGACTGCGGCACTGCTCCTCCAGTTCTCGGACCCGGGCCTGGGCCAAGACCACCATGAGCCACCATGCCTGTGTCCTCTCCACACATCCACACATCCGCACAGAGCTTCAGATCACAGCTACCCAGTGCCCAGCCTGGGCCTGAGCCAGCAATGCATCCTCCAACCCTTACCCTGGACAGCGGCACTCCTGCTTCCAGATGTTTTCTAGGCCAAAGAGGATCGTTCCCACCCCACCACCACCAGTATCATCTCAGGAGTTTGCTCAGTCCCATCCCTTGTCAGCTTCCCACAGTCTGTGACCCAAATCCCTGCCCCAGAGCTGGGCAGAGACTTCACAGGATGCTGGGGACATGTTCATGATGGGAAACAGCCCGCTCTCAGGACCTCTGCTCAGGCATCAGGAGAGTCCCCAGATCAGGGGCTCTTCCCTGGCCAATGTCACCAGGAGCGTGAGTCAGCTTCGACACACTTGCTCAGGGCCTGAGAGGCCACATGAGGGACAGTCCCACGTCTGCCAGGCACAGCAGGAGGGTCTGGGATGAGGGTCCAGTCCACATGTCCTTGTAGGAACCCCTGCCCATCACAGATTCTCAGATCTGCTGCCAAAGACACCCCCTCTGTTAGACACAGCATTGAGACCCTTGGGAAGGGATGTGGAGGAGGTGGGAGGGGACCCCCAGGAAGCAGACAGGTAAAGAGAAGGTACCTGCATGGAATCCAAGGTAGACTGTGGCAGGGAAGGAAAGCACAGACAAGAAATTAGAACCCTAAGCCCTGTAGGTCATTCATTAACCCAGAGAGGGAGGGGGAGAGAGTGCAGTTCCTAAATGGAAGGACATTTCGGGGTGCAGGCACCCCCAGATGGTGGCAATGGGAGATGGCTGCCCTCAGACTCAGGACCCCCCCGCCCCACCATGCCCCAGTGGAAAAATAGGCCAAGAACAGAGAGGACTCCTCCAGGCCCCGCAGTGTTCAGGGGCCATGTTACAACCTCAGCCTACACCCCAGCGCGCACACCGTCTCATGTGCTCTGCCACCTCCAGGGACCCTACCTCCAGCAGCTGCACGGCCCCTTCATGTTCCCTCTTGGCTTCTGCCTGGGCCTAAAGAGGGGAGAGGCAAAATGCTGGAGGAGAAGGTTGAGGAATGGGGGAAGTAGAGGCAGGCAGAAGAGAAGGAAGGAAGGGGAACAGTGAAGGGTAGGGAGAGAGGGAAAGGGCCTTGGAGGGGGAAGCTGAGGTTTCTCCCTCCCACGCTCCCTGCCTGACTACCTTAGAATAGAGGAACATCCTCCCTCCCAGCTTCTCTCTGCCTCTCCGCTGCTCGCTCTCAACCTCTCTGCCCACCTCTTTAGACAGCAGGGTGCCCCTGGACACAGTGCTGGGCCGCTTTACACCACTCTACCCCAAAGACCCCTCCTGGTCACGCTACTGCATGCACTGATGACTCCAAATATCTCCAGGACTAGCTTCCCCAGACTCACACACCCAGCCGCCTACGGACCTCCCCACCTGAGTGTCTGTAGCACATAACCCCAGTTCCACAAAACAGAACTCACTGGAACTCAGGCTCCCCGCCTCTCAGAGCTGCTGGGCTTCATCCTCCACCTCCTGGGGTGAGTGAAAAGCCCCATCTCCCCAAAGGGTTCACAGCAAAGGGGGTGACCAAGTAGGGATTCAGCTGGAATCCCAAGTAAGGCTTTGGTTTGGTTTGGGGGTTGTTTGTTTGAGATAGGGTCTTGATATTTAGCCCAGGCTGGCCTTGAACTAGAGATCCTGCTTCAGCCTCCTGAGTGCTGGGATCACGGTTCTGTGTCACCTTGCCAGCTCTGAGTCTTGTCAAGTCTATCTGCAAATTATATTTCAAATCTGTCTACTTGTTTCCACCTCCATCATCACCTGCAGCCTCATCCAGATCGCCATCATCTCCCTCCTGGACCATGGCGGCCACAGCTGCTAATCTGCTGATCACCTGCTCCAGGCCCCTCGTGCTGGCCATTTTGCAAAGTGATGAATCCGATCACATCACTCCCTGCTTAATCCTTCAGCAGCTTCTAACCACTCAAGGAGCAAAACATCAAAGTTCTTCCTGCGCTTTTAAGGTCCAATTCCTGCTGCTCTGTCTCTTGCTGTATTCTAGCCACACTGTCCTTGGACCCTCCCACTAGCTCCTCCTTGCCACAGGGATTGGCACATGTATTCTGCCAGTCTGGTCTGCTCTGGCCTGGCTATTCTGACTTCCTCTCATTCCCAAGGCATTAATTCAGTTGTCACTTCCTTGGGAAGTCTTCCCGGATAACATCTCCAAAGCCACTCTTCACACATCCCCATCCCGGTCACTTCTTGTCGTGTCGCCCTGTTCATCTCCCCATTGTGTTTATTATCACATGTGTGGGTCTGCTTATCTCATTTATGGGTCCGCTTACTTGCTGATGGGTCAGGGACCAGGCCTTTGCTCACCAGTCACCCCAGTGCCTAGCACAGTGTCTGCTACCTAGTAGGTACTCAGTAAATGCTTGCTGGCTGAGAGGCTGATGAAGCTGAAGTCCCAAAGGAACCAGTGCCCCTCACTCCTGCCCCACCTGCTGCAGCCTCAGGACCTCCTCCTGCTTCTCCCAAAGGCTGAGCCGAGCCTGTTCATGTTCCACCTCCAGCTGCTGCCGCCGCTGGGCCACCTCCCGCATATGCTGAAACACAAGACTGGGGGTCAAGGCCAGAGGCCCCACGCCTCCATCCCCATGGAAGATCTAAGATGATCTGCTCCAGGTGTCTTCTATTAAAAAGGAAACCGAGTCAGGAAAAGGCAAAGGGTCAGCAGCCCCAGGACTGGGCTGCAGACAGAGGGCCTATTCTACTGTACCCCTTCCTCCTGTGCCAAGTCCCAGTGCCTCCCCACTTACCCAAGGCCCTCACCTTCAGCACCTGCTCCAGGCTCTCCAGCTTGCTCTGCAGGCCCTGGCTCTTTCGAAGGGCTGAGTCCCTCTCCTGTGTCACCCCCAGGAGCTGGCCCCTCAGCTCCGCATTCTCCCACTCCACCTAGTGAGGGGGCATTGGCAGGGAGCTGGGCATGTGACCTGTCCCTCATGGGAGGGACGGCACACTTCCAACTCCACCCAGCGCCATACCCCTGCTCAGGACCAGAGCCTCGAAGCCCCAGGGCAGAGCAATACCTGCTCCTTCTCGGTGGCTCTACCAGTGAGCCGAGAGTTCTCTTCCACCAGGCGGGCATTCTCATTCTGGGCTTCTCTCAGCTGCAGCTCCTGAGGGGGCAGCGGAGCTCTGGGGAGGGTTCCGGCACCCACCTTTCTCCTCTCCACACACAGAGCACGCTGCCCTCCCAGGCAAGGCTCTCCTCCCCTGCATCCGCCAGGAAAGGACAGCAGGGCAGAACCGGTGTGTGCCCAAGGGCAAGAGGGATGGGAGCTGAGCAGAGAAAGGTAGGAATGGACCTCTGGGCAGCCTAAGAGCTCACCAGCTCCTCACATCGCCTCTGCTTTTTCCGGGCTTCCTGCTCCAGGTTCTCGCATTTCTTCCGCTTCTTGCTGAGCTCCGACTCCTATACAGTCAGACCCAAGGCTCCTCATGAGCGAAGGCAGATCTGCCCAGAGCTGATCACCTCCAGCCCTTGACCTGGGACTTACCAGCTGCTGCACCCTCTGCTGTTTCTCAGGCTCCCCTAAGACCACAGGCAGGCTGTCCACATCCTCTTGGGGTGTGGCCTGGAAATGCCCAGGGGCAGGGAATGGCACCTGAGAACAGGGCCCCAGCAGCCTACCCCAGCCCAGCCTGCCCTGGGGAGGTTCCCAGCTCACATGATCTGCAATAAGCTCTCTGCCCTGGAAGAGTGGAAGGATGCTGTCTGCCCAACCCCTCCCAACATGTCCAGCTGAGGTGGAGGTACAGGGTCTGCACCCTACGTCCCCCAGCTGTGCGTGCTTTGAGATTCTGGGACCCACGTGCACTCTGGGAGATGGATCCTTTATCCAGGCCAAAGCTTTCCCTTTTTAGCATTCAGCAGCTGCCCTGCTCTGCACTCAGTAACTGTCCTGGGTGTCCTTCAGCGACTGACAGAGAAGTAGGAGGCTGCTTGGGCCCCCAGGGATGTGGCATTCCCAGAGGTAGGGGTTCTGGATCATCCAAATCTGGACGTGCCCTAGAGTAGGGCCAGTCTGGCCAGGCCCACCTCCTGGTTGCCCTCAAGCCACCCTATTGCACATTCTATGTATCTGTGCAAACTTTTGGGGAGGATGGGTCATGACGGGAGGGACATCTCCCTTCATGCGTCGGCCAGAGGGGCAAAACCTGAGCAAGCAGCATCCCTTACCCCAGGCTTTCCTTGCTATCACTACTGGGACCCTCCTCCCACTTCTCTTCCCAGAGGGAGGAGGAGGACCTAGAGGCTGCCCACCTAAGAGTCAGACTATTATTAGGTTCTTGGGGTCCGGAGTGAGTCCCTGGTCCTTCAGGACAGGGGCCGCCTAAGCCCCACGCTCAGTGAAGGTCGCCAGTACCTGGAGCAGGGTCCGACTCACCGCATCCCCGGGGGTCCCGGGCCAGGCCTGGCAGGCTGGCAGGCCCAGGAAAGGGCGTTCCCACTCTACAACGGCGGCGGACAAGGCGGCGCAGGCTGGGCCCCGGGCGGCTGCCAGGGCAACCAGGGATTTGCGGCCGGGCCATACCACTGGCAGCGCGGCGGGGGCGCCAAGCTGGCCTCACGGGGCGCAGCCCGCGGAGGCGGAAACCGAGGGCCTCAGTGGGGTTTGCCGCAGGTGCAAGCGTGCAAGGCCAGGAGAGGTCGGCTGCCCCTGGTCAGGAAGGCTCCCCAGGCCCTGGGAGCGCGCACGCCACCGCGGAGTCGGTTCTGATCCCCACTCCTCGTAGGCGTGTGCACACGCACCTGCCCTAACCCCACACTCACCTCTCCCGGGGCCACCGGGGCCGGCGCCCCTGCTCTGGCTGAGATAGCGGGGCCCGGAGACCGCAGTGGAGGCTCCTGCTGGTTGCGCAGGGCGATCTGCCTCTGCAGCCGCAGCACCTCCCGCTGGGACTCGCGCAGCAACCGGTCGAAGTCCCGCACATGGAGCCACTGGGGACCCTCCTGGGGTGGGGCGTCCAGAGGGGGAATCAGAGCTCACCCCTACCTGCCCTCAAGCCATCCCCTCCAGGGCTTGCCCTCCACCTTGCTGGAGGGGCTCGGATCGGGGGCAAACATGCCTGGTCATATGTGCGTGCGTACACAGCCACATGCTTCCAAAGCCCGTGTGCAGACGGTCACTGCAACTCATTTACTGGGCGCTCACCACGTGCCCGGCACTGTGCTAAATGCCTCGGGAACATTCCTTCACACAAGTGTGAGATCTGGGTGGATTCGTACGGCCATACCCACTGGCACATAGCCTCAAGCCGGGAGAACAGAAATGCCCAGGTCTGGCTCCGCCTAAATCAGTTCAGCCTCTTTCTCCCCTCTCCCAGCTGGGCCGTTGCCAGGGGAACCTACTCCCCAGCAGCCTCCACCTTCCCGCTTCATTTGCATCTCATTAACATCTCGTCCACATCCCACAAGCCGGGCTGACAACCCTGGCCCTGCTCAGGGTCGAGCTGGAAGGAGAGACCAGGGCCTCCTCTCACCTTGCCCACCAGGGTGAGCCTGGCCTGCAGCTCCCTGCACTCCCGCTGCAAGGCAGCAATCTGCTTGTCCTTGGCCAGCAGAGCACTGGCCGTCTCACTGAGGTCTCGGGCTCGCTGGCGGGCTAGGGCTTTTCTGCACAACTCCAGGCTGGCCCCGGGCCTGGGCACAGGAGCACTCACCTAGCCAGAGGAAGGGTAAAGTCACCTGAGGGGCTGGGGCACTTCCCCCACTCCTCACCTCTTCCCAGAGGAGGAGTTAGGATGAAGCTCACTTCCACCACCCAATCTGGGGTTCCAGATGACAGGCAGCCTCCCTGGGCCTCCCCCTGGCCTTCCTCAAGTGAGACTGAAAGGGTTAACTCCCCATCTTACTTTGGGCCCAAAAGATGCTACTAATTCTCGGCTGCCACCGTGATGGGTCTTATCCCTGCCCCCATTCCAGCTCTACACCCTGTGATGAGCTCAGCAGGAGGCTGCAGCCAGCATCAGCACGTGGGGATCCAGAATTCTGCTCCCTGCCTCCCTAGAAGCCTCCCCGCCCAGCCCTTCCCTCCCTCTTGGGGCTCCAGCAACCTCCCGCCTCCTCCCCAAGCCAGTGTTTGCCCTTGCTCCCCTCAGCTCCTGAATTCCTCCTTTTCTGGGTCCTAGGAGTCCGTGACTCCCAAGTCTCAGTCCCTGAGACTCAGCCCTTGGCTCCCCTCTTCCCTGGTCACCCAGCCTCTGTCCTCACCACCCTCCAGTTGGTTTCCTGCAGCTTCCGGGCCCTCTCCTCCAGGCGCTTGGCAATGACCGATAGCTCCACATTCTTCCGCTTCAGCCTCCGCACCTTCTCCTCCGTCTCAGGGAAGCTGCTGTTTCTCTGACAAGGGGTCAGCCAGAATTGGAGGGTGTAGGGAGCACCTACACACCCCATCCTACTGTACAGACTTTGGGCCAGAGCGCCGGCTCAGAGTGGGATCCTTGGCAACTCTAGGCAAGGTTTCACTCTCTCTCTTGGGATTATGTCACACCCACGTGACCCCCTCTTGAGAGATATCCATGGGGTGAGGAGGACACTGAGGCAGAGGGGCCTGGCTGGACCTGACAGCACCCACCCTCATAGCCTCACCAGCATCTGGTTTTCCTCCTTAAGGATGGCACAGTGCTGCTGCAGCTCCTCCAGGGTCCTCAACAGCTCCAAATTGGGCCGGTCCCCAAAGCTGGTGTTCGTCGTGGCCTGGCATGGGAAAGGACCAGGTACAGTGCCTCGGGGACCAACCCCACCCAGTCAGAGTCTCATAGGAACACATCTCCCCTCCACAGTCCAAGGAGACATGGAGATCTTTCTCTCCTACATCCCAAGCCTTCAGAGAGAGGCTCGGGGGCCCAGCAGAAGGCCCGTCTGGTCCTCCCAGCCCTCAGTGGCAACTCCTCCCCACCTCCTGCTGGCGTCTCCCATGCTATTCCCTGATCCTTGCCAACCCTGCCCATCTCCTCCCCCTGGAAAATGCCAGCTCAAACTCCCATCCTGATCCGTCCAGCTCCTCAGCCCACCAGTCCCCTGCCCTCCCCCAATATCCTGTACCCCATCTTCTACAGGACACCACTCACACCCACCCAGACCTGTCCTCCCCGGCTCAGCCCAGCACCAGAACTCTCCTAATCTGCTTCATCGGGACTCGGATCCCATCTTACACCTCCACATCCCCAACATCCCCAGCCCCCAAGGACAGAGAGGCTCATGGAGGAGGAGTTACAGACAGATTGTCGGACACAGATATACAGAGGGGCAGAGCTGCATATAGATGCACAGGTGGAGAGGACAAATGGCTAAAAAAATGGAGTCACTGAGATTCCTGTCCAGTGAAGGGAGGACAGACAGTCACAGAGACAGACCCCCACACAGAGACAGGCCAGGAGAGGAGAAGGGCAAAGTGGGGTTACACCTCTTGCCTTGCTTCCTGGCCAGCGGTGGGACATGGTGAGAAGCCCAGCTTGCAGACCCCAGCCCTCTCCCAGCTCCCTTACCTTAGGCAAAGCCTGCACCTCCTCATCCTCCAGCCTTGGGGAGCCACGTCCAGAGGTCCCTGCTTGCTGCCTCAAGCTGGGCAGTCTAGCCTCTGCTCCTTCAGGGTCAGTGCCTACCGCAGGCCCCAGACTCTGAGCTTCCTGGGGCTGAGAACTCAATTCTCTAATGTGCAGAACTGTTGGAGTATCAGCAATGCTCGGGGCTGTGTCTCCAGGTTCATCCCCCTGGCCTGGAGTCCAGCTCTGCCAGGCAGGCAGTGCCCAGGGCTCCATGGCTCCAGGGTCCCCAGGCGGTGGGAAGGTTGTCAGTTGCTCCATGGCAGCGCCAAGAGGTCCCAGAACTCAGGCTGGGGCACATCACCCAGCCAAGTGGGGGCACTGGAGAGGGTCATGCCCTCCTCTGAGCGCTTGGCTTCACCGAGGTTCCATCCAGGTTGGCTGAGCTCTTCTCAACCCACAAAGAAGGCTGCAGGAGTGGGGACTGCCGGAGCTGGAGCCAGGGGTATGTGAGCTATGTCTGTTCTTGGTGTGTGTGCCTGAGTACGTGGAGAGGCGAGGGTGTCCTTGTGGGGGTGGGGAGGATGTTCGAGGCCACTGACAGCAGTGCTGGGGCGAGGATGTGTGAGTGTCTCTAGGTCTGCTCCCTCAGGCCAACGCTGCCTGTGTGTCTGGAGGGTAGGTTTCCCCACTTGTGTGTGTTGAGGAGGGTGGTGCTGTGTGTCACTGTCTGTGCCTGTTTCTGAGTTACCAGTTGTTTCTGTGTGTGGGTGTCTGTATTGCAGGGCTGTGGCAGTGTGTGATGCTGTCGCTGGTTGTATCTGAGTGTGTCGGCGTTGTGCAGCTGCATGCGTCCCTGTCAATGTGTGTCTGTCAGCGTCTGTGGGTCTGGTCATCCATCGCGACCCCTCAGCCAGGCTAGGGTCCTCAGGAGCAGTTGGAGGTAAGCCCCAGTGGTCTGCTGTGGTCCTTTATCTCCTGCTCCTCTCTCCGATGCTGCTCACTCGCTTGCTGGGTGGCCGGGCTGGTCCTAAGGAGGCCTGGGTCGATGGGCTGCTTGCCTCATAGTCTCTGCCCCTACTACCCTCAGCTCAGGAGACTGCAGGGGTCCCTTACAGTCCTGGAGCCTTGAGATGGTGGGTGCGGAGGAGGGCTGAGCCTCAGAATGGGGAGGGGGAAGCAGGGGAGAGCCAGCCCTCCTTCCCCCCCTTTCTCCCATCCTGCCTACCAATAGGAAGTCGGCTGCTCGTTTCCATGGTAATGGCGCTGGACTGATGGGCTGGACCGGCTGGCAGGGTCGGGACAGAGGGAAGAGCAGGTTCCTCACGGGATGCCAGCTCAGCGCACACACATGCACACGCACACACACACACGGGCGCGCACGCACACACACACGCACACGCACGGCCTCCCCGCTCCTTGTCCCAACACACCTTCACACTCTTCAGGGTACAGAGGCAAGGGGGCTGGAGACTGTCCTCCCCACACTGGGCAAGATGAATACAAGGGAAGGGTGACAGAGATCCAGCCAGAGAAGGGCAGGACTAGAAAAGATGGGATTTGAGATTAAACAAAGAGAAGTAAGAGGATGAAAACAGGAAGAGAGAAGCAAAGAGACAGAGGTAGAAATTAGCTGAGAAAATTGCTCAGCTCCCTCCTGCCAGATCACACTTGGAGAGCAGACTGGTTGTCCCAAGCCATCAGGGGAGACCGCATGAGCTGGAGGGCTGGCTTTGTCTTGAATTGTGAGGAAGTTCATCTTCGGTCTAGCCTTAAGCTCTTTTGCAATGAGAAAATGCCTTTTTGGAACAAAAATGTAGGCACTCCCATACCCAGGGATCAGCTTGTATGTGCAGCAGCAGAGGCCTAGGTAGAGTGGTAGAGTCCCCAGAGAGAAGGGTACCACTGGGAGAGGCTCCAGAGAGGCAGCCCCTCTCTTTTGTGAACCTGGAACGCTGCCGACAAGCCAGTCTCGGCTGAGGTCGGGGGCCCTCATGTGGCACCCCTGTGGAACAGCAGCAGCAACGCTAACCCACAGAGCCACTGACCCTGGGCTCCACCCAGGCCAGAGCTGATAGAAGGAGGGAGGGGAGGGGATGGGCGGGGAGGGGGTTCACTTCCCTTACACAGTGTGTAGATCAGTATGCCTGCCACTGCATGATATGTGTTGCTGATGTTTATGTAAGGGTACATATGCACACCATTATGCAAATACTTGTGTATACTATGTACAAATTGACTCACATTTCTGTGTATCTGGGCCACACTGTATACACGTGTTGTTGTGTCTATGATTCTCATTGGATGTACATGGCTACATGTTTCTGTGTGTCACTGCACGTCTATTTACCAGTGTCTATATATAATATGTACGATCTTATGTGTGTGAAGCTAGTATTGAGTTTATAAATTACACCTGTGTCATGATATAGGGATATCACCATCATCATATGGGATGAACAATACATAGTTATGTACTCACAGTCACATAAATATGTGTAATGCATACAATGACTTGTATATAATATACAATATATTAATATTAATATAATATATAAATATAATATATTCTATATATATTCATCCCTCAGTGCTTGAAGGGGGATTGGTTCCAGGACCTCTCTCCCCAGGATACCAAAATTCACTGACATTCAACTTCCTTAAATAAAATGGTATATAGCTAGCTGTGGTTGCCCACACCTGTAATCCCAGCACTTGCAGGACCTTCCAAGCCAGCCTGGGATACATAGAAAGACCCTGTCTCAAAAAAAAAGAAGTATAGTACTTGCACATAATCTACATAGATGCTACCATATACTATTTTAGTATGTGTGGTGCTGGGGTCTAACGCAGGACCTTGTATATACTAGGCAAGTGTTCTATCACTGAGCTACATCCCCAGCCTCTCCTGTACACTTTTAAAATCATCTCTAGAGATCCCAAGCTCGATCCCTGGTACAGAAAAAAAAAGATATAATAGTGTAGGGCCAGGGATTTAGCTCAGTGGTTCTGCCGCCTGCCTCCCAAGCACAAGGTCCTGAGTTCGATCCCTGGCACCAAAAAACAAACAAAACAAAAGAAAAATAAAATCATCTCTAGATTGCCTATAATATTTAATATAATGTAGCTGGGCATGGTGGCGCATGCCTGTAATCCCAGCACTCAGGAGGCTGCAGTAGGATCTCTGTGAATTTGAGGCCAACCTGGGCTACATAGTGAGTTCAAGGCCAGCCTGAACTACATAGTAAGACCTTGTCTCAAAAGATAAAACAGGGGCTGGGGATTTAGCTCAGTGGTTTGGCCGCCTGCTGTGCAAGCGCAAGGACCCGAGTTCAATCCCCGGTACCAAAAAAAAAAGACAAAACAGGGCCAGGGATTTAGCTCAGTGGTTTTGCCACCTGCTAAGCAAGCGCAAGGACCTGAGTTTAATCCCTGGTACCCAAAAAAAAAATCATCTCAAAAGATAAAACAAAAAAATTTAATATAATGTAAATGCCAAGTAAACTTGTTATATTGCATTTAGAGAATAATGACAAGGGGAGGAAAGCTTGTAGATTGTAAGTACAAGCACAAGTTTTTCAAATATTTTTGACAAGGTTGGTTGAATCCATGGATGCAGAACCCATGGGTATGGGGAGTTAATGAATAAAGTATGTGTATAAACATCATGTATCTATTTTATTTTTATTATTTTGGTTTTATGAGGCAGGGTCTCACTATGTAGACCACCCTGGCTTTGAACTTACTATGTAGTCCAGACTGGCCTTCAACTCTGGATGCTCCTTCCACCTCAGCCTGCTGAGGGCTGGGATTAGAGGCATGCACCACCACACCTGGCTCCATGTATCTATTTTATGGGCTGGGGATTTAGCTCAGTGGTTCTGCCGCCTGCCTCGCAAGCACAAGGTCCCGAGTTTGATCCTCAGTACCAAAAAAACCCCCACATGTATCTATTTTATATTGTCATGTATGAAAATGTCATTGTGTGTTTATGTGTTTGGAGCCACTGTTTATGTGAATGTCACTATATCTTTGTATAGGTAGTGACATATCATGTTTTATATTATTGTACATGTGGATACTGCTGAACGTGTGTGTCCTGGGTGAGTGTATAACCATGTGTCATTGTGTGACATACCAGCCATGTCCTATGTCTATGTCATTGCATGTGTATGTTGCCAGCACGTGTATAGAGCCTTTATGTAAATGCACACCCATGCTAGTGCATGTGCACTTTGTATATTAGTATCTGTGCCCTTATTTATGTATAAGGTGCTATGCACACAGTATGCCGTAATGTTTCTGCCTAATTTTTATACTATCAATGACTCTCTAGCCAGCCGTGGTGGCACAGGCCTATAATCCCAGCATTCCAGAGAATGAAGCAGGAAGAGTGTGATTTCTGAGGCTAGCCTAGGCTACAAAGAGAGACCCTGACTCAAAACATGGGATAAAGACAGACATAGATTAAAACCAGAGGTAGCCAGGCACCATGGTGCATGCCTATAATGCCAGCACTCTGAGAGACTGAGGCAGAGGGATCGTAAGTTTGAACCTGTACTGAGCAACTTAGTGAGAGCCTGTCCAAATAAATAAGCAAATAAGGATGTAGCTCAATGCAAAGGCCCTGGTTCAATCCCTAGCACCACCAAAAAAAATGTAAGCAGCCTTAAGTTTGGGGAGTATAGAGAATGAATAGAAAACAGACCAGGACTGGAGCTGGGCCCAAAGGTGGGGGGCCCCTCATATCTCTGCCCCTTTCTTCAGACTGCAGGAGATTCTCACCTAGCAGCCCAGGCCCTTCTTTCATTGGGCTGCATCCCAACCAGGCCTGGAGCCTCTTCAGCCGTTGTGGGCAGAACCAAACCCCTTTCTCTTGGACAACTGAGAGGATCCCCCTCCCAGGGTTGCGTGTCCATGCTGCCCGGGGGGCCTGCTACCCACACTCGGCACCCCCCAACCCAGCAACAGAGTCTCAGACAAAAGAGAAGCAGAATCCATTCTTTATTAGTGTTGGGGCGCCAGCCCCCCACCCAGTCCTTCTTTCCCTCCTGTCCCACGGCCACCTGTGGCTGCGGCACCAGGCCCACATGTTCAGCCCTCTCCCACCCGCTCAGGATTTGGGCAGGGCAGAGCTGCAGTTGTAAGGGACCACGAAGGACAGCCCTATGTGGGGCAGGGAAGGCCTTTTAGGGGTCTGAGTGGCGTGGGAAGGGTGCAAGAGGTGCTCACCTGTCTCACATGGTCCTGAGGCACAGGAAGATGGTGGCGGGTGGCGGCGGCATGGTGTGGTCTCCGAAGCCCACAGTACACTCATCCATAAAGTAGGAAACACTACACCCTCCAGTGCTGTTAGTAGTGCTTTCTACTTTATGGGTGACTGCACTGTCTGTCTGTCCGTCGTGTGTGTTCTTCTGGCCACCCGCTCCTCCTCCTGATTCCTGCTTGAGAACCCCCCACCCCTCCCAGTGTGGCTTCCTAAGACCCCTCCACCCTATCCGAGGCCCCCAGAGGGCCTGCCCTTGGCCTTGTGGGTGGTGACTCAGCATGGCGCCATACTTGCCTCCTCTACCTCCCTTCCCTCCCCCCACTTCCTCTTTGGTTCCCTCTTCCCTTCTGGGGCTCCACCCTATGTCCCCCACTCAGGTAGAGTGCTCAGGAAGTGCTCAGGGAGCACTCAGGTAGAGATCATGGCCACTCCGAGGCCTCACCCCCATCCCCAGTTCTTCCCGGCTGACCCCTCCCAGCCACACTCCCCATCGGCCTGCTGACCGAGTCCAGCTGAGGAAGCCACAGCCTCCTGCCGTCCAGAGCCTCGGTCCCCAGCCTCCCCACTGACCCAAGCTCCTGACTCCCTCACTTCCTGCTGCTCCCCAGGCAGGAACCCTGTATCCCAACAGAAATGGCGGCCATATTGGGCAGGGGAAGTGGTGCGGCACCTACCACTGCCGCTGGCCCCACTCTTTGGCCTTTGCCCACCCTGCTCTCCACCCCTCCTTCCCTAGGGCCTTCAACAGCTGTTTCTTCATCTGGGGGCCAGGAGCCATCTAATTTTCTTTTTTTTTTTTTTTTTCAATACTAGGAATTGAACCCAGGGCCTCATGCTTGCCACTGAGCTAACTCCCAGCCTTTTTAAAATTTTGAGACAGGGTCACTAAATTGCCCAGGCTGGCCTCAAACTTGCAATCTTCCCACCTCAGCTTCCCAAGTAGCTAGGATTATAGTCATGCGCCAACACACCTAGCTCATTTTACCTTTTAATCCCTCCAGTAGAGGAATAAAAAAATTTAAGAAGCTATCCCACCACGAAGGCCAGTAAGTTTGAGGGTCATGGCGCCTCTTTGCCTAGAACTCTACTAGGAAACCTTGGCA